TGCCTCTATTTACTCTCTGTTAGGTATTGTGTCATTGATAGGCAAATTTTCAAATAAAATAATTGATGTGATAGTAAAATCAAGCATATGTAAAGCATGCCAGTATTTAGTAACAAAAAACCCCATCGAAGCTGAGAGTTTATCTGAAGATCACAAAAATGAATGCACAGCAAATCACGAGGGTAGCAGTGGCAAAATGGAGGTCGACAGTGTTTCTGAAATGTTCAAGCGTTCTGAGGAGCATTATGGTTTGAAATACATGAAATACATTGGTCAAACAGCCAGAAACTACGTCGACACCGTTGATAATGCTCGTATTTTGAGAGCGAAGAAAACTACAGAAGCTAACTCTAAAGAGGCCAGAACCTACGTAGGGTTCTCAAAGCTGTTTAAAATGATAATTATGAGGAAGCTGAAGGACTACTGTATGCACCAGGCATAGCAGAATAATGTTAGTATAATTTTTTTATAAAAAATCTGTTCTCAAAACTTTAAACGCGTTTTTCTCCAAACTACGTTTTTGAAATTTTGCCGAAACACTTATTCTCGACACATATTCTGATGCATGATACCTCAAAAATCTTTAATTTTTGAAATGAAAACTTCTTTAGAATGGAAGTGATCTGAAAAGTAAATAAACGGAAACGGAGCTATGTAACGAAGCTATGAAACGGTTGCTATACTAAATAATGAGAGAAAAAGAGAMAAACATATAGGATTWAGCCTGCGAGAGAATGAGACGGAACATAGCTATACAGTTTTTCCTATTCTCGGTCTCCTCTTTATGCTATGCTTCGTAGTTATCGCTCCTAGTTTTATATGTGTGTGTGTGCGCGCGACTGCATACTACAAAGCGTGGACACGTATTCTTTCGATACTCGAAATGTTTATAGGTACGAGCAATAGAAAAGTAAAAGAATAAACAGAGATAAGCACGTAGGTATGCGACAAAAGTATAAGGTCCAAACCAACCGAAGGTCGAAATAAAGAAAGAAGGTGCGTTGTCTGTTTTTATTTTACCTAACATGGTATTTCTTTTCTATTTAAAAATGTTTCTATTTTATTGAAAAATTAATATTTAATTATTTATTTCGCAAATATTATAATAAATAAGTATGAAGTACATAGAATATATAATACTTGTATTGTCTGAAATATTTAAAAAAAAAAAGGATTCCCAGATACATCAGAAAAAAAGAATTAGAGAATACTGTCGAATAAATGAGGAGCAGCTGACAAATTCCATTAAAAAGCAAGTAAATTACTGTCACATTTTTATATTTTGCTTTTTTATAAAATATATTTGATACCTTAAAATAAAATATGTCTATTAAATTTGATTTTTATATGAAAAATATCCAAARAAATGTACTGACCCATGCATATATGAAAATTATAGTATAAATTATAATATTTGCGTATTTAAGAAACTTATAGTAATTTTTCAATAAAATAAAAACATTTTTAAGATGTTGAACGCCCAGCGTAAATCGGTGGAGCTTAGCACAGAGATGAAATTTGAGACTCGTAGTGTACACAGTTCGATAAGCTGAGAGAGCGATACGATTCAATGCATTTTTTTTTATTTTTCGTTGTTCTGATCTTTATTTAGACGAGAGTATTTAGAAAGATAAGTTTTTAGTCTAAAGAATAAGGACGTGATATGTTATAAATACTAAGGGTCTCGAAGTGTGGTAGGCTACAGAGTTGAAAAAACATTTCTAGAVAAWMWCTTTATTAGATCTTTCATTGCATTTTACCAGAACCTTCGTTCAGTCCAGCAGTATTTTCCATATGTTTTTCGTAACGTCTTTATTTCATBTATCCTRAAATGTTTGTTATATAGCGCAAGAATGTAGATGAAAACGGGAAGTAGAAAACCATACTAACAAAAAAAATTTTATACCTGAGTTTCAAAAATAGGATTATTTATTTTTACCTAATTTCTGACGAATTATATTTCCTTTGATAAACATCCTACCATTTTGGTGACTATTTATAATTATCGCATTCAGCATTCCGCTTTTATTGATTGAATTGTGAAAAGTGTACTTTTTATCAGCTATTCCACTCAGAGACCATACTGGTGACCTTTATTATATATAGTAATAATATTATAATAAATAAACCCTACAATTATCTTACTCTTGAAACTGTGCATTCGTCTGATTCTCTCGAAACTTAGTTTTTTGAAGGTTTCACTTCTAACACGTGTAATCTCTACACATGATTTTTATTTAGTTTATTATAATTGTGTAGATAAATTACAAAAACATGAGTTATGATGACCATTTAAGGATATAATAAAAGATTACTTTTTATCATAGTTATAACTGTTAAGATCTTATTGATTATGTTGACAATCAACAGAACGAGGTACTGGTGGCAATGGAAATAATCTTTCCCATATAGCCATTCTTTCAGGATATACACCCTGTTTCATAATAGGATTTAGAGTAATGTCCAAGTAATTATCCTTCGGTGTTTCATATCTGTCCCATTCAACGTTTCTAAATTTCTCGTTATTTCTTGGAATGGGTTCACCGGTTTGTACGAAATTAGTCCACATTGTAGTGTAAAGTTCAACCATTGCTACTTCTGGATCGGATTGGTTGAAATAAGGAAAAATCGCACTCATGTAAAATAGGTATTGCAAATCATCGTGGTGTACAGGACCTAAAAAGATACAAAATATTGATAATTATGATGATTCAAGCAAATTTAACCTTTTGCACTCAAGAAGTTACTCTTGGTCACCACGATTCTTTCCTATTTCCAAAAATCGGGAAAAATCATAACCCTAACTCAAAATTATATACACAAATCATTACATTCCTTCTTCATCATTTTCTACCTAACTCTTTAAATGAAAAATATTAGAGGAGGTTATATTAAACAGCGGACCAATGAGATTGATAATGCTGATAAGGTTTCATAAAATTTGAATTTTTGGATGATGAATATTTCATTTTTTTTAGGAGGGGGGAAGGAAGAAATCATTTTACCTTTGTATGTAGTGGTATCATTCCACATTGCAAAACTGAAACGTCCTTTATATGTAAATTGGTAGTAATAGACTGGAAGTACGTTATTATCAGACATAAGTTTTGTTGCACGATGTACCGGGAATATGATAACACTATCAGCGTAGATCTAAATAAGAAAATGTTTTATTAAATAATTCACGTCGATAAAACGAATGAATAAACATTAATCATTTACTCACGTGAGCTATTCCATCGTATGATTCTGTATCAATTGTTCCATTACCGAAATAGAATTTTCTCAATTCTTGACTAATATAATTCGAACGAGGTGTATTCCTTTCGTACATGAAACTAATGGGAGCAATGGTATTAAATTTTGTATTTAGATTATCGAGTATCGTAGTGTTTCCTGATTGTACGGTTTTCTCGATACCTAAAATAAATTGAACCAATAGAATTGAATTCTCATTTATTTATTTTAATGTATTTTAACGAAGAACTCTTAATTGTATATTTAAGACATATTTTATATTAAATTTATTCAATCCTTCGTTATTTTCCAGTCATGTAATTTAAATGATTAAGAATCAATAAAATAATTTATTTAAACTTCAGTACTGCAATTTAAAAATATTTTAAATATTTAAAAAAAAGTTTCTAAAAACAAGAATGACACAAAAACAGTGATATCTTTCAAATTATTTAAAATCATTTAGGTCTATAAGAGTCTCAGTATTTATTGTTAGTTGTAAATTATTTAGATTGCTATATGATGACAAATTAATTTATTGAATCTTATGAAAGAGCTAATATAGTAATTATTTACCAAATACCACTCCACCAAATTCCTCTTGGTTAGAACCAATGATGAGAGGAACTTTGTTGATTTTACCTTCTCTGATCAAGTCGACAGGCTGAGCAGGTAAAAATCTTTCAACACCATCTACTTCTGGTTCAACTACCGGTGACCATACCAGAATCGGATCTCCATAATATTCCTAAATAAATCGTACGATTAAAGAAATTATTTTTAAGAGTTTATCTTTTTTTTAGGATGAACCAAATAAACCAAGACTCACGAAAAATTGCGAAATAGTATCGGTGAAATTTTCAACTGGTTTTGTTTTCAGACAAGTCAACATAGATTCTATCGTATCTGTTGGACAATTCAATAATTCAGCTTGTTTCGTGATTAGATGTTTTTGATCTCTCGGGTATGGTTCCAAGTACACATCAGAACCACTCATAGCGATTGCTCTGTGAAATAGACCCTTTGACATCGGTGATAACATGTGGAGCAGTACGCTGGTACTTCCAACACTATAACCACCAATAGTAACACAATTTGGATCACCTCCGAATGCTGCAATATTTCTTTTGACCCAACGAAGTGCTACAACTTGATCTTTAAAAGCCAAATTTCCTGGTGCGTGATAATCTCCTGAACTAATTAATCCTAACGGAAAAAAGAAATGTATCAATGATTTTTATTAGGAAAACCTAAAATATTTATACCTAAAGTTGCCATTCGATAGTTCAACGTCACCAAGACGATATCTTTGTCCAAGATATATTCTGGTCCGAAAAATCGTGATTGACCAGAAAAGACGTAGAAGGCACCAGGATGAATGAAGAACAGAACTGGACGACCTTTGAAATTCTTGCCTTTTGCATTGTGCGATGGTAACTGTAAAGAATATTATTGTAATCTATTTTTATTAGATTCTGTTAAAACAAATCAACATAACAACTCATAGTCATAACGCAAACAAATCTGTTCAAATAATTTTTGAATTACCTTGGTCGTGTAGACATTTAAACGTAAACAATCCTCAGATATAGGTGTTTTGCTTAGAGTAGTACAAGCAGGTCCTTCCTGGGTACCATCGTATACATCATCCCAATCTTTTGCTGGAATGGCAACCTAAAATCAAAATAGAATGCAACACTGCAGTAGCAATTGAACTTAGGTTCAATTTCTCGTTAAATGTCTAATATAATGTGAGATTATCATTGATACAGTAATTCAAACTTACTGCGTTTGACTTAGATAAACATGATAAATTGATTTCTCACGATGATTAATAATAATTTTCCTTTAGAATCTGCGATGAGTCAAATTTTGTAGAATAAAGGAAAAAGATGTTTATTTATAATATTTTCCAAGAATAACACTTGCTAAATATACATATGTTCTCGAATTATAATAACAATTAAAGTCAAGGTTAACAAAAGTATTACGCGATAAAAGAAACTATTATCGTTTAGAAAAATTGTCATTTATGAAACAATTTATTTAAATCAATAATTATTATTATTATTATTAACAAAGAAAAGAAAATAATATTTTTCACCTGAAATCTTCTTTCTCCTACTGGAGGTTCTGCATACCTTACACTTCGAAACGAATAGATTTTTCTGCCTAATCTCGACATTAAAATCGATCCACGAATTTTTCCTACAGGTGCTTCAACTATTGGATTTTCCAAAGTTGATTCATTTGCGATCGTAAAAACAAACAACACGCACAGAATTACAAACTGCCACGTTTTAAACATTTTTTTTTCTCTTTTTTTTCTTTTTTTTATGAAAAATACTTCCACTCTTGTTTTTGTTTTTTTTTGTTTTTTTTTTGTTTAACTAACAATCGTTTTATTTTTTGTATCTTGTTTCGTCAATCATGTCGAAGAATTTCTTTCCTAACTTGACTCGAGTACGCTCGAGGAAAGACTGAAACATTCGTAGTCACTGGTAAAGTATTTATACCCTTCGTATAGTTGTTGGAGTACAAGGAAAAACTGGTAGGATATATCTTATCAAGAATAAAGTTAATAAGGTTTGCTAATACGTGCGTTCCCAAGATCGTTTATAACACAAAAGAAAAATAAAAAACATATTTTTTTTTTCAAAAAAGTGCATATTTTCTCTTTTTGTTCATGAGAAAATTATTTATACAGCTTAATTGCTAGGATAAAAAAAGAATTTGATAAAATCAAATTGTAATAACATCTCTGATATTTTATTTTTATTGTTGTGTGACGTTCGAGGGAAATTCCATCTGGAAAGTATAAAAATCATATACTTCTCTCTCTTTCTATCTTTTTTTTTTCATTCTAAAGCATAATATATATTTTATATTTTGCATAAACTTTGAACCACAAGTCGAGTAAAAATATCGAAATATCATTTTATCGTCTGTTTGATTTAAAATATTATTTTTAATTTTTTTTATTTGCTAGTATATTAAGGAATAAACAATAACATAAAGCAGAGATAATTATATTACTCATCGTTATCCTTATCGGTGGATTTCTGACCTCTTTTATTTTACTTTTGGAGATTACATATAATTACATGTGCATTACATATGTAATTCGTCAAATATCATTAGCCAAGATAAATAGAAAATAAAATAATAAGGTTTAATCCATTAAGCCTGTGTTATCGCGAATATTTTTTATTCCATAATGGTACATAATAATTATTTAAAGAAATTTTCACGAAGTAATTATGCGAAATATCATTAATTGTTCTTCTTGTAAGTATTGTGAACATCTCAAGGTCTCAGTTTCTTTCTCCTTCATCTCAGAAAGGTAATATAATAAATAATTTGGGAATATATAGATCGTGTGAGAATGATTCATTGAATCGGTAAATTATGATTCAATCAATTTTCTCCTTATTTTAAATATGATACACGTGAATTATTAAAATCGCACATGGAAGTCTTTTCTTTTATGTTAAATGCAATGTAGTATTAATATTTATTAATTAATTATTGTCTTATAATAAACGTGTTAACAATATTTCTGTAGATACGTCGGTTAAATAAATAATATGGGGTACATAATAACATATAAATATTCAGAAATAATAAATTTTTATTAAAAGCGTAATTTTATCTTCTTCATAATTTATTAAAAATAATATATATTTATAGTATATGCGTAAAGTAGTTTGATTTTTTTATTATAAATATTACTTTTTAATCATTGTCAAAGTTCTATTGATTACTTTGATTATCGATACAGTGAGGCAATGGAGGCAAAGGGAATAATTTTTCCCATATAACCATTCTTTCAGGAAAGATACCTTGCTTCATAGTTGGATTTAAATTGATGTCCAAATAGTTATCGTTAACCGTTTCGAATCTATCCCACACAACTTTATCAAACAATTCGTTATTTCTTGGAATTGGTTCGCCAGTTTGCATGAAATTTGTCCACATTGCGATACTACGTTCGATCATTGGAATTTCCGGATCAGATCCGTTGTAAAAAGGAAAAAGAGCACTCATGTAAAATAAGTATTGCAAATCATCGTGGTGAACAGGTCCTAAAAAAATGATAAAAATCGATAAAATTGATGTTATAATCAAATTTGAAGTATTATAATAATAATTTCGATTATTATGCAATTTGCTTTTTGTCTATGAGAATTTTAAAGTTTTTTTTTAGTTTTATAAAAATCAAATTTTTTGAATGACGGATATTTCTTTTCTTTTTAGGGAAGAAATAGAAGGAATTATTTTACCCTTGTATGGTGTGGTATCATTCCACATGGCGAAACTGTTACGTCCTCTATACGAAAATTGATAAACATAAACTGGAAATTTGCTATAATCAGCCATAAGTTTTGATACACGATGCACTGGAAATATTTCAATGCTATCGGAGTAAATCTAATAATTAAATAAAAAAAGTTTCATAAAAAAATTGATATCGATAAAACTAACGAATGAATTTTACTCATTTACTTACGTGAGCTAATCCGTCGTATGATTGTGTACCAATTGTTTCATTACCAAAATAGAATTTTCTCAATTCTTGACTAATATAATTCGAACGAGGTGTATTCCTTTCATATTGAAAACTAATTGGAGCTATAGTATTCCATTTTGTGTTTAGATTACGGAATGAGGTAGTATTTCCTGCTTGTACTCTTTTATCGATAACTATAAAAACAAAAATAATATTTATTCAAATCAAATTCAATAAACATTTTTTGTATTTATTAAGTTGTTAAATTTAATGCGAGAGTTTTAAGTTTTTGTTTTTATTTTAATAAGAAAGAAATAAAAGTAATATACTTTTTATAAATATTAAGTAATTATTATGGTGAAAATAATATAACAATAATATTAACAAAATTATTCAATAAAATACTGAATTGTTTTATTTTTACAAATAAGTGTTTTTTAGCTACGTGGAAAAAATTATAGTTTATCAGTTACTTACCAAAGACCACTCTACCAAATTCCTCTGTAGTAGTACCAATGATTAAAGGAACATCATTGATTTTACCTTCTCTGATCAAGTCAACAGGTTGACCAGTTAAAAATCTTTCAACTCCATCTACTTCTGGTTCAATAACTGGTAACCATATATTCACTGGATCACCACCGTATTCCTGAATAAATTATTTTTAAGAATATATTTTTGTATTCGAACAAATTTTTATTTATGAATAATTTCAACAAATAAAACTTACGAAAAATTTCGATAATGTTTCATTGAAACGTTCGATTGGTTGAGATTTAAAACAATTCAACATAGATTCCGTTATGTCTGTCGGACAATCCAACAATACTGCTTGCCTTTTAGCTAAATCTAATTGATCTCTTTCGTAGGATTTTAATTTTGTAGGTGAACCACTCATGACAATTGCTTTGTGAAAGAGACCCTTTGACATAGGTGATAACATATGTAATACTACACTGGTAGCTCCAGCACTATAACCACCAATAGTAACACAATTCGGATCACCTCCGAATGCTGCAATGTTTCTTTTGACCCAACGAAGTGCTACAACTTGATCCTTCAAGCCTAAATTTCCTGGTGCATAAGAATCCCCTGTGGCTAGGAAACCTAACAAAAACAAAAAATATATGAATAATCATGTGTTTTATTATATATTAAAAATAAATTTTTACCCAAAGTTCCCAATCGATAGTTTAATGTCACTAAGACAATGTCCTTGTCCAGGATATATTGTGGTCCAAAATATCGAGATTGACCAGAGAAGGAATAAAATGCACCGGGATGGAAGAAGACAAGAACTGGACGACCTTTGAAATTCTTGCCTTTTGCATTGTGCGATGGTAACTATAAAGAATATTATTGTAATTTATTTTTATTAAATTTTGTTAGAACAAATCAACATAACAACTCATAGTCATAACGTAAACAAATCTGTTCAAATAATTTCTGAATTACCTTGGTCGTGTAGACATTTAAACGTAAACAATCCTCGGATATAGGTGTTCTACTTAAAGTAGGACAAGCAGGCCCTTCCTGAGTGCCATCGTATATACCATTCCAATCTTTTGCTGGAGTTGCAACCTAAAAATAAATGATAAAAGCAAGATTGCAGCAATATTCCAACATTTATTTAATTGTTTCTAGGAATGTAATACAGGTGTATTTGATAAAGTGTAAGATTATCCTTGTCACGTTAAAATAACAATATATTATTAAAAACACTAAATTATTGTTAGCACCTGCACATGTATTTACTTTAAACAACGCTTCATCGTAATTTTGTATATTTTTAACAATGACTCTATTTAAACGAAAAACGTAGGAATTTTTTTTCCAGGTTAAAGAATTCGTTAGAAATGTTTTATAATTTATAGATGAAAATTTTTCGATAATAAACAATGTCAATTGGTCAAATGTATATATGAGTAAAAACGTACAAAGAAATAATATTTTGATAAAGTCAATGATAATTTTAATTGCCATAGTGAAAAACACGAATATATTATTAATACTTCTTACCTGAAATCTTCTTTCTCCAACTGGAGGTTCTGCATACCTTACACTTCGAAACGAATAGATTTTCTTGCCTAATCTCGAAGTTAAGATAGATCCTCGAATCTTTCCAACAGGTGCTTCAATTATTGGATTTTCCCAAGTTGATTCATTTGCAACAATAAAGATAAACAACGCAAACAAAATTACTAACTGGCACGTTTTAAACATTTTTTGTGTTTTCTTTTTTATTTTTTTATTTTTTTAAATAACAATCATATTAATTTGCGTATCTTTTGACCTTGTTATTCGTAAACGATATTGATATAACTTCTTCCTCACGAGTGTTGACTGCACTGAAGAAAGATTGAGACGTTCATGGACATTGCTAAAGAATTTTTGTACTTTATCTAACAAGAGGAAAAAGAAATGAATAGGGGAAGAGAGAGAGAGGAGAAAAAAGAGTAGGGGATATGAATAATCTCACCAAGAACAAGGTCTATAAAATGCAACAACTCACGTCTTCTTAAGGTTATCAACACTTTGAAGGTAAACGGAATATGTATTAAGAATAATTTTGTTATTTTCAAAAGTAACATTTCACTGTGTTTGTGTAATTTATGTTTGTACAGCTATATTTTAACGTTACGAAAATTTATTCATTAGTCTATCGTATTCTTGATAATTTTACCTCGCAAAAAAAGAAGATGTTAAGAAAATATTTTCTTTAGTTTTAATAATTCAATGAATTCTGTTTGCAATTTTTAGTAATACTCACTATTTTGATTTTTTTTTTGTTTAATTACATTTACTAAATTTTTATAGATACATCCATAATACATAAATATGTTATAATGCACGTTTATATAAAATATAAAATAGAACTCTCTTATATTATATTTTATCATACATACAGTAGAATTCTATTTTTCTATATCTAATAAAAAAACAAAAACATTATATATATATGAGACGTATTTGAATATTTGTTTCATATTAATGAGCTGCAGATTTTGTTGAATCTACAGGTAATGGTGGCAAAGGGAATAATTCCTCCCATACACTCATTCTTTCCGGATATATATCCCGTTTCATTATGGGATTCAGTGTGATGTCTAAATAATTGGCCTTCGGCGTTTCGAATCTATCCCACACAACGTTTTTAAACAATTTGTTATTCCTTGGAATGGGTTCACCGGTACGTGCAAAATGTGACCATATTGCGGTACTACGTTCAATCATTGGAACTTCTGGATCCGAACCATTGTAAAATGGAAAAATGGCATTCATGGTAAATAGATATTGTTGATCATCGTGGTGTACAGGTTCTAAAAAAAATAATCAAAGTGTCAAAGATGTGATCAAATTTTGAAATATCGATAAAATTAAAGTTATTTGTTCAACAATTCTTATTTTTTTATTTTTTTTTTTTTATAGAATTAGAGATTATTTTGATTTTTTGATCAGAAAATTTGTTTACCTTTGTATGGGGTTGTATTATTCCACATAGCGAAACTGTAACGTCCTCTGAATGAAAATCTGTACATATATACTGGAAGTTTGCTATTTTGGGAAAATAGTTCAACTGCACGATATACTGGGAATACGATAACTCTATCGCTATAAATCTGAATAGGAAAAAAGTTTTGTTTATTTATACAAAATCGATATCATTCTAATCGAATGATATATATTTCGATGATTTACTCACGTGAGCTATGTCATCGTACGAATGTCGACCGATAGGGTTACTGCCAAAATAGGCTCTTCTTAATACTTGACTAATAAATTTCGAACGAGGTGTACCTCTTTCGTACATAAGACTGATCGGTGCTACGGTTTCCCATTCGTTATTTAAAAGATCGAACACTGAATTATTTCCATTTCGTACTTTTTGATCGATAGCTAAAGATAATTGAAATGCGATTAAATTAACAGAAAAAATAATTTTTTAAAAATAAATTACTTACTGATAACCTGTCCACCAAATTCTTCTGAAGTCGTACCAATAATCAGAGGAACTTCGTTGATTTTGCCTCTTCTGATTAGGTCGATAGGTTGATCAGTTAAAAATCTTTCAACCCCTTCTATTTCTGGTTCAATAACTCCTCCCCATATACCCATTGGATCGGGATAACCAATAGATAATTCCTAAAAGAAATAATTAAATTATTAGAATAATTTTATATGAGTTTGGATTCGTAGGTTTAATCAAACTTACGAAGAATTGTGAAATGGTTTTAGTGAAACTTTCGATTGGTTTCGTTCTAAGACAATCGATCATGGATTTTGATGTATCTGTTGGACAATTTAAAAGTTCTGCCTGTTTTATTGCTAAATTTTTCTGATCTGTTTTATAAGGTTCTAATGATATAAGGGAACCACTCATAGCGATTCCTCTGTGGAATAGACCCTTCGACATTGGTGATATCATGTGCAACAACACGCTGATACTTCCAACACTCGTACCACCAATAGTAACTGAATTAGGATCACCACCAAATGCTGCAATGTTTCTTTGGACCCAACGAAGTGCTAAAACTTGATCCTTAAAACCAACATTTCCTGGTGCGTAAGAATCTCCTGTACTTAGGAAACCTAACGAACAGAAATTATTTTAACATAACAATTATAAAATGTATTTACAAATTTTTACCTAAACTTCCCATTCTAAAGTTCAATGTCACTAAAACAAGGTCATGATCCAATAGATATTCTGGTCCATAGAAGCGATATTGACCGGAGAAAAAGTAAAAACCACCAGGATGAAAATAAACGATAACTGGATGACCTTTAAAATGTCCGCCTTTTGCATTTTTCGTTGGTAACTATAAAGAATTTTATATGAAAATCTTTCGTGAGAGAATTCTTGGTACAACTAAAGTTAAGATTGCGTCAAAGTAACATGACAAATTATAAAGCAATGACGAAATTCCGTTAGATATATTTTTTTTTATTCACCTTGGTCGTGTAAACATTCAAACGTAAACAATCCTCAGATATGGGTGTATCACTTAGGGTACTACAAGCAGGTCCTTCTTGAGTACCATCGTATACATTATCCCAATCTCTTACTGGAGTTGCAACCTAAACAAGAAAATGATAAAATTAAGTTTATGTAGTAGTATACGATATTTGTTTTAATTTTTTTCACGTTCCACACGTGTCTGAAACGATGCAAGTTTATCAATGTTATTTTAATCACGATATATAGTTGAATATATAAAACTGAAAATATATCTTACTTTTAGTTTATTAAGAAAAATTAGCTATTGTAGAAAATGTGAAAGAAAGACAGAATCATCAGAATTTGTGTTTCCTACAAAAAAATCATTCTTTTGATATATACCATTTATATTATCATATTTTTAAATTTAACAGAGATATTCAAGTGTCCAATTAATTTTGACTCATCCTGTATATTACAACGAAGAAGGCACTGCAGACTACTATACGTGCTATTACCTTTTCCACGATGATTCACAAGGATAAAAAAAATAAAAAAAATAAATAAATTGTATTTAAAAAGAGACTTAATTATTCTATTTTTCTTTTTTGTTTGTTTGTAACGATAAAAATTCATTACATATAAATGATATTTCTCGATTCAAAAACGCATGAATAATGAAATGCTATATATTTATATGATTCTACGTATGAATAGAAAAAAATAAATCCTTGTATCGAGTTTAATTAATGTATTTAACATAAACGATTAACGTTATTATTACCTGAAATCTTTTTTCTCCGACTGGTGGTTCGCCGTATCTAACACTTCTAAACGAATAAATTTTTCTGCCTAATCTCGATGTTAAAAATGTACCACGAATTTTACCAACTGGTGCTTCAACAATTATGTTTTCATCTGTCGTAGAATCATTGGCAATCGCCAATACGAAAAACGTGCTCAATAAGACTACGACGAGTATGCTAATTTTCGACATGTTTCGACAAAAATATTTTGGTTAATTTTGTTCTTTAAATAGCATTTATATAAACTGTTGTATACGATAGTGTGACTATATACTATAGTGAATGAACTTATTCCTTAGTGTCGAGAACGCTCAAGGAAAGACTCTGGCGCGTTCAAGGACAGTGTAATGTAATTTATATACTCTCTTCATCCAAGAGGAAAAAGATAGGTGGGGTGGGGAGAAACCCCGATTATCTTACCAAGAATAACACCGATGTATTGTAGTAACTTTTGCCTTATTTAAGGTCGTCTGTAACTTGAAGGTTATCTGTTGAATATATATCCAATATATATAAAATGAATTTTTGTTCTACTTCTTTATTTGTTCTTTTTTTTGTAATCTTAAAATAATATTTTGCTATTTTATTCATAATTTACTATATTTGAGTATTTGATAATAAAATATCATTTTCTAGGTAAGAACGTATGTTTCGTTTTGTTCTTTTTTTTTTTTCCAAGTCATAATAAGCTCAAAATATGACGAAACAAGATTTTAAATGGGGTCACGTATTATTACATTCATTGTTCATTGTGAATTCTTCAAACATACTATATACGTTCTGTAAGAGATTTACTTTATTTTTCCTCTCTTTTATACTTCTTTGTTTTTTAGTTTTTTTTTTTATTTTTCATTTTAAAAAGGTATAACAAGTATATACATTCTCTATTTAGCAATGATTCAAATTATAAAACACATAAGAACATGGAAATTTTTTTTAGAGATGAGTCTTCGATGAAAATAACATTATTTCTGATTTATTTTATCTAACAAAATAACGAATTTTTAATAATACCCGATAACATTACTTACTACTTTTCCTCGTCGTTGTTATTATCATTTATATATATTTGATCTCTTTCTTATTATATAATCGACGAGACTTATAATGATATCCATATGTTAGTTCGAAAATATCATTAGTTTAGATAAGTAATACATTGGATAATAAATTTCTGTTGATAAATATGTTATATCTACTGTTAATGTTTTTAATTTTATATTATAACGTCACACACATGCATTAAAACGATAAAACGATTTTTACCGAAGTAAACACGCGAAGAATAATTTTATTAAATTCTTTTCTTTTATTAATTATTGCTGAATATCTCATATCTACTTTATGTTGATATCCATTTTCTTCACCTGGGTTTTTCCAACTTATTAAAATAAATTAGACCACAACATTGAATTTCCTGGAACGGTTCTAAGGAGATAAGGAAACTAATCATTTATGTAGAACGCGTGTTACGATGAATTGAGATATAATATATGTGTATCCATTTAGATGTAGTATTGGATAACAGGATTGATGAAACAACATGATGGTGACGAATAGGTGATATTTCAAGAAAAACATTCTACATCATAATAGAATTTAAATTAATGTTTATAAGTATTTTTCATTCTATTTTAATAATTAATTATTTCTAGGAATTGATTCATCAGTTTGCATGAAATTTATCCAAATTATTGATCTATGAAATTTTATTTTTAAAATACACATTTAATTTTCTTCTTTTTCAATTTCATCATTTTCAACTTTCTTCTCTTCTTGCTCGGTTTTTCTTTGCTGACGTTTCATTTTTAATATTTGTTCAGCCCTCTTTCTCTCTCTTGTTTGTTTTCTCGCCATTTCTAGATCTATACAGGGATCGATAGTTGGTTGATAAACGATAGGATCGATTGGTTTTACTTTCTTCTTTTTCCTTTCCTTTTTATCTTCCTCTTTTGGACACTCTCCCATTTTATATGGTTTCGTTTTCGGTAAAACTTTCCCGTATTTCTATTTAAAAAAAAAGATAGGAAGAACAAACAAGAAAAAAAATCGGTGTATTATTGTAAATAAAAATGTAAATATATATATACGCGATAGGATTGAAAAATCTTGAGCCTAACATAGAAACAACTTCTATTATTCATTCGTCTCATTCTCTCGAAGTTTGGTTTTAAAAAGGTTTCACTTCTAACATGTGTGATCTTCACACATGATATTTTTTTTCAGTCAAATTTTAACTTTATTCGAAACGAAAAACGATTGATTTTTCTTTTTGCTTTGGTACTGAAAACTTTTCAATCCAACCTTTAATTTTAGAATCAAAATTCGAGTATATCGATATTTAATAAGATATAAAAGATTTACTGGTTTTGGATAAATCGGTTGGCCGTATTTATTTTTTTCACGAGGGGGTGGTTTTTCGACAGGATCCTTGGGTTGTATCGGTGAAGCTAATTCATTGATTCTACCTGTAATGGTAGCACTCAGTGCACTCTTTTTTACTTCAAATGGTTCTTTTTTTATCGTTAAGTCTTTGCGATCTTTCGATTTGGCCAATTCGATTGTTCTCGGTGAAGCTACGAGTATTGAGTGAACAAACGATTTAAATTTAACAAATATAATGAATTAATAAGCTGGTAATTATGACAATAGATTAAATTGAACGATTAAAAATATGAAATAAATAATTTAATTATAAATAAAAAATAAAAAACAAAATAAACCATAATTTCATTCTCAATATTTTTCACTTATTGTTAATCAACTGCCATTTTATTTTGATTAGAATGTTTCGTAAATTTTTTTTTTTAGTATTTTCAAATACCTTCAACATTCAAGGCAGATTTTTTAATAGAAAATGCATCATCATATGTTTTACAGGGCAAGGGTGCATATCTCCAAGCGTGTTTAGCTCTTTTTCTCAATTTTTTTTCAGCTTCAATTTTCTTCCTCCTCTCCTTCTTCTTCTTTTCATCTTCTAAATTTTTTCCTTCTTCGTCGATTGTTTTTATTTCGTCCCCTTCATCTTTTTCTATACGTATATCTTTTTTCTTCTTTCTTCTACCTTTCATTCTTTTTCGTTGTTCCTCTAGAGCCTTTTTACCTCTTATCTCGTAATTATCTAATAATATTTTCTTCCATTTCTTAGCATCTTTATCGTATCTAGGTTTTAGCGCCGCGTACCCTGGCAAAGCCAGAATTTTCGTCCATGCAGTAATCTGATGTATTTAGAAAATTAAAAATAAAAAAAAACACACACACTCATACACACACACACACACACACACACACAGGTTAATTTTAATATTACTAATAATAACATTATAAATGATCAACTAAACATTGTATAACACGTTTAATCGATAAAATTAAAAATAAAAATATTACCTTGTACTCTAATGCACTTCTTTTAATACCAGTAGCAGTGAACAATTCATTTCTTTCTTGATCGGTCAAACCTTCGGGACAATCAGCCAATTTCTTCGTTAACTCTAATAATCTTTTTCTCTGGGAACGTTTATCTTTCGTATCACTTGGTAATTCCACAGATTTACATTCTTCACGTTCAACAATTCTAGGCTGACTCAGATAATTTATCCTTTCAGTTGGAGTATAGTACAATGTAGCTTTGCGTATTTTAATGGGCAATTCACGACCATAATCGTACATTTGCAACTTCGGTATTGACAATTTCAAAAGTCGTTTTGTTGTTTTTGCTATTAAAGCTGCTCTTGAAACTTTTATTTCACTCGGTTTACAGTGTTTACTTGGATCAAAACGTTTTGGTACTTCGCTTAATAAATTGATCCTTTTTCTCATTAAATGCAACGATTTTGATGGTCGAATCTGACGATTGAAAACATAGGAAATAATTATATATTATTATTATTCTTATTACAAAATATTATTTCTTATTTACTATAGGTTCTGGTTCTGGATATTTTCGTGGTTGTGCATTAATTTTTGCCCAAGCATCAAACCGAGCCCAATCAGCTGGCGTTTCCAGCCACGTCTTAACTCGAAACTTATCTTGCTTTTTATTTCTAAAATTATACATATTCGATTGAACACATTTAATATTTCATTAAATACAAATATGAATAAGCTGTTAATAAATTAAAAATAGTTCTTGTATTTTTTCTATTTTAAATATTATAGTATATAAATTTGTCTTATATTTAGTATCGCGTGATAAGAATACGAATTTTAATCGTAATTGGTATATATAGTTACATAAATAATTAATTTAATTCAAAGATAAGGATATTTCGTAGAATAGAATTTTTTTCCAAAAAGTCACGTTGACAAATTTAAAAGATACCAAGAAAAAATGCGCATAAACAAAAATTTGTAAGATAAGAGAAAAAAAGAGTCACTATTTCCGATAAAATAATGACTAAGGTAATACTAACATAAGTAAAAATTGTAATATTATGAAAAAATTTTATTAACATATTTTTTATCTCTTTTTGATAAATTTTAAACAAGATGCATCACAATATGCAAATATAAAATATTTAATTGTAAGAGATATGTAAATATAAAATTGTTCATATATTATACTTTAAACGTGGAATATAGAATAATATTGAATATAATAAATAACATTATTTGTGATTATTAAAATTTATATTAATATGTATCAGTATATTTTTATTAAAAAGAATAATAATTTATTTCTCAACTCACCTTGCACTAATTTGTTTCTTTTGTATTATTTTATCCCTTCTAGAAGTACCAGGATATTTAGAAACTCGAGTATCTTTCTTAGTAGTACTTGCAACTTTTCTAGAATCAACTGCACTACTTTTAAGGTTGACAACTCTACGCGAATGTGCCATTTCCGATTTGGTTTGTATTCTCGAAGGCATTTCTTTGAATATTTCTAACTCTTTCAACAAATTAGTCACCGTGTGATCCGATATCGATGATTAAATTTAGGTTATTGCTTTCATCCTGATGATATTTTTTTGTGGTTCCATTAAAAAGTTATATTTTATGTTAGACATGATTTAATTTTCATTTGATTATATCGATTGAGAAAAATTTTATTGATACAAATTTTCAACAATTGTTTTCCGAAAAAAAATTTGATCGAAAATTACGATTAATTTCTTTTACCACGCCATAATTTTATGGTTGTCGATTGTTCCGATCTTCGAATTAAATTTGATCCTTGAACGATCAAAAAGTTGATTTCCAATTTATTTCTAATAAATAATATTCAATACTTCAATTTCAAATTAAATATCGTAGAATAAAAAACATTAAAATCGGTCCAAAATTTAATGTATTATTTTTTTGTCTACATTATATCTTTTCGTTTCATACATTTGATAGATTTTTCGAAAATATTGATTAACCTTTTCGAAGAAAAAAAAGAAAGAAAAATCAAATTGCTTCTTTTTCTTCTTCTTTTTACAAAATTTTATTATTTTTTCTGTTGATTTCCATAAGTAAGATTAGTTTTTGGCGTTAAATTCTTCACAGAATGATAATAATTTTTATCGAAATTTCCATAAACGTTATCGTTGTCAAGAGAATTGTTCTTTGATTTAGATAATTCACGCAAACGTTTAGGACAACGTCTGTTTCTCGTTGCAGTTATACGAGCATAAGAATGCAAAAGATTTTGTTTCCTTCCAAGATCATTGATTTTTCTCGATTCTTCGCTACTGTTTATCAATTTTCTCTTAATCGATTTTTCTAATAAAAGTAAAACAATACGAATCTTGTAAAAAATTATTAAAGAAAAATTATTAAAAAAAAAAAGGGAAAATAAATAAATGCTTGAAAAGAAAACCTGCGTTTGGTGAATTACTGGTTCGTGCCGATGAACTAGGATATTCGTATACATCAGATTTTCGTTTAGGTTGTGCAAGTTTGTTCAACGTATCTGTTATCTGATAAGACAAGGCCGAAGGTTTTATCTGAAACGTCGTAACATTTTCTTTATATTTCCCCCCCTTTTTATTTTAATCTTTTTCTCATTCTGTTTTTTTTTTTTTTTTATTATACGAACGTGTAAACGTGTTTATATAAATTTATAAGAAAAAAAAAGGAAAAAGCCAAATGTAAATACCTTGTACGGATTAACGTTGCTTGTCTTCTCTATTTTAAATTTCGGTTTTGCTAATTTATCGTATCTCGATGTTTTTCGGGAGGAATCATCAGTACTCATGTCTAATTTGAATTAATTTTTTTTTTAATAAACTTCTAAGTTCGCAAAATATAATTTTTATTTTTATTTTTGGTTTAAAGAGAAATTGTTAATTTTGAGACTTGTAAATTTTGAAATTTGTATTAGGGTTAAATTTAAAATGTTGAGAGTGAAAGTGGTGAGACAGGATTTGATTAAAACAAATTAATATCGTTTTTTTTTTTTGAAGCGACGTTCACTCTGACAACAAAAAATTCATTTAGTCATTCCTATAGTACAGTACTTCAGAAATCATGGCGTACAATCTTTTCAATATTTATTTTTGAATTTTAAAATCACATTTGCGATACCATATTCAAAATCAAATAAATTATACAAATCCATTTACTTTGAATACTATTTCGTAAATTTTAAACACATTGATGAAAATGTGGAAACAAAATAAATCTCTTAAATCGTGCTGGTGGTGTTTACCTAGAAAAGTTGTTAACATTTATACGGAAAATGAAGTACCGATTAAAAAAATAGTAAAAAGTAAAAAAAAGAAAAAAACCAAGTCTTCCCTTTTAACAGTAATTACAATTATCGTTGACAATTCTATTTTATTTGTATAGAATGTTGAATAATATTTAAATATTTCGTTGGAAATACATTAGTTTTATTTTATTAATATCTGAAATAAAAAAACAATTACACTGTTATAAAAGTTCATTCACAATTATATTAGTGTGATCATATCAAATATACAATTTTTTTTAAACTATTACAGAAACATAATAATGAAGTGAAAAACGAAGTAGTAAAACATACGAGACAAATTCGACGATTGGTTCTACCTAAAATTAAAGAAAAATTTTTCAAACAAAATTTGGAATCTAACGTGTCTAAAAAAATTAATAGGAAAATGAAAAAACAAATTTTACCTTGGAAAGGTTTTCTTTCTTCCATATTTTCTTTGATATACTTCTTTTTCATGCGAATAAAATTATTCTTATATAATTAGAATTTAAATAAAAGAATTGAATTTTTGTAGCATCAAAAAGAGTAGTGGAATTGGCTTTACCGAAGACATTAAATTCTTTGAAAAAAGTTACAAAAGATTTACGAGATCCTTTCAAAGTAAATCCTTCCGCGTTAAAAGCCATTTGTTCACCTCGAATCAAACTGCTTGCTAAACCAACGAGATACAGAACGAGTTTTTTTATCAAGTCACATTAAATATCATTAATTATTAATCTATTTTGTATTACATATCGTCGATAAATTATGTGTCTAGTTATGAAGCTATTAAAAGAAAAAACCTAATAAAAAAAAACTGAAATTATTATTGCGATGATAAAGAATTATTATTAGAATTATTATTATTGTTTACTATAATAAAAAAAGACAAGATTATTTTCTTATAATTTCTTATAATGAAACTCATAATAAAACACGATATTAGAAATAAGAATAAAAATTAACTAAGGAGCGTATAAATGGTTAAGTTTAAAGATATTTTACTAAATTCGAGTAATAAGTAATAAACGTTGTTAAGTGAAATAGAATTTTAATGAACAAAATGACTAGAGAGTCATTCTAAATTCAAATGTTAGAAACTAAACAGGAATATTATGAAAACTACAGATATAATATAATTAAAGCAATTGATCAATAATCTTTGAAGCAATTGGCTGAAATTAAAGTGAAACAAAATCGAACGATAAATCTGAGCTTCGAATGATTAATCGTTTAACAATTTTTAATGTAACAAATGTCACACGTAACAGCCATTTACAACATCGAATAAAAATAATATAACCAAAAAAAAAAGGAATCTAAAAATGGAAATTTCAAATTAACAAGTAAACAAAATTCTCGAGGAAGAAAAGAAAAAAAAATATAAATTAAAAAACTAACCCAACAGGTTTCTCCAAAATGTCAAAAATTTCATTAAAATTCAAGGATTCGAGCTTTCGATCGTTTACACGTCGAAAAAAGTAAATATAAAATGCAGATTAAATAAAAAAAATAAATAAATATTACGTATCCACGTGAATACTACTACTATTACTACTACTATTACTACTACTACTACTACTACTACTATTACTACTACTATTACTACTACTACTAATAATAATAATAATAATAATAATATTTTGTAATATTAAAGAAAAATAATAGAGGAGATAAAAAACATGAGACCCATAGATTTTTGCTGTTCAGCAGAAGACTTCGATCCTCTGATGAAATACGATCAACGTAACCCACCTTACACGTCATCGTTGACCGCAATAGATTCATTGCAAGAATCTCCAGCAATAAAATTACGCACTCAATACATCAATCATTTGGATACAAAGAAACTAATAACAAAGAGTAAAGATACACAATACGTTGGAATAAATTCTGAAGATTTTTCTATTTCTTCTATCAATGGACCAATCCAATGGTACATAGAAGACGAATTAGAATTAGCCAAAGATATTTTATGGGAAGATAGATTACGAAAAAACGAAGAAGAGACGAGAGAGAATATTCGTATTGGAAAAGCAAATGGTACGAAATGTTACGAATGATTATTTTTATTCAGAGATATAATTCTTTTTATATATATATATATATATATATTAGTGAAAGCTGAGTTGAAACAATTGAAGGACGTTGCTGGACCTCGATGGTATCAAGATTTTTCTATAGATCAGGTAATATAGAATTAGATATGTAACGAAAAATCATTGATTAGAAAATAAATTAGAAATTATCGTAATATTATTTAAGATGAAAAATCTTATGATGTTGGAGGATGTGATAATGACTGATTATAAACAAATGGATACTGGTCGTACGCAAAAAACACTCATGGCCATGGGAATTGTATCCACATTTTTTAAAATTCATCCAAAAACAATTAGAAGAATGCAACGATCGTGCGATTTCAAGGCTATTGATTTTCTCAGAGAAATTTATAGATTACTTACCGGAAATTATTTCGAACAAGAAGGCTATAGTCCGTTCAGCAATTTATTCAATAATTTATATATTTTTTCTTTTTTTGAGAAACAATTCAATTTTCTTTTTTTTTTTTTCACAGAGAAAACTTACGATTGCAACGAAAGAATCATTTTATCAGCCATTGCTTTTTTGACATTACCCGAAATCATTATCGAGTTAGATAAAAGATTACCTGCCATTGTTATTCCCAAATTTCCACCAAAACGTAATGATTTCATTTCTTTATCTTTTTTTCATTTTCTTTTTTATTTTATTAATTACATCTAATTTTTCTAGCTAAACCAATGATGATTATGCCAAGAAAAAAAGCAAGCTCACCGTACAAGGAAGAACTCTTTACGCGTCCTGATTGGGTAACATATATGACTCGTTTACAACAGTGGCGAAATTATTGTAAATCGTTACCAATACGAAAAGTTATCCTACCGGATGAAAATTGTCCGATATTTACTTATAAAGAAAATTTACAAAATGTTCATATAAATAATGTTATCGTTAAAAACGATTTATCGATAGCTTTAAATGATTCCAAAGATAATATAAAAAAACATAAAAGTATAAATATATCAATGCAATCATAAATTCGTTCGAAGTTAATTACGTCTTGTTATATTTTATTGAATTTTTTTTAGGTTCATCAAAACGTGATGAAAGATTAACAAAAGCTAACAATAATTTGACATTTAAAGAAAATAATAATAAAAAAAAACCTAACAATGACATTTCCAAATTACCCGATGATAGTCAAATTTTTGATTTCACGCTTTCCGGATTGAGCGAAAATCAAAATGGTCCAGTGAAATACAAGATTTGCGGTACAACAACGTTAGAGCAAATATGTGATGAACGTTTTTTTTTTTTTAATAAAAACTTTCAGGATTATTTTCTTTTCGTTTTTAATTTTATTTTCTTTTTTTAACCAATTATAAAGGAACACTTAATCCACCTAAAGATAATAAAAAATCATGGCTGGGAGAAAAGGATGCGCATTTTGTTATCAGTGGAGTCTCGGATGATCCACCGGAGTGTCCCGTTTCTTACGAAATGACAGGAATTGCCAATGTTACACCAACGAACAGCGATGAAAGATTTTTCAGTGTGTTGAAACTTGGTGATGGACCTAATAAAATATATCCCAGTGGTAGAAAAAATCTATCGAAAAATTGGCAAGAATGGTTGCAAAATGCGGACGAGGAATTTATAAAAGTTGAAAAGGAAGCAAATAAAATATTAAAAAGCGTCGAGGCTACCATGAGACTCGTATTTCCAGGACCGATTTGTGACAATTGTTGTTCATGTAGACAAACCAGAAAAACTGATATTATGCAAAAGGAAACTAAAACACCTTTCATGGTCATCGATGCTTTAACCGAAGATGAACGAAAACAAAAGTAATTGAAACGAAATTTTTGTTTATTTTCTAATTCTTATTATAAGATTAGAAAAAAAAGATATTATATCTAATTATATTTAATTAATCATTGAATACAAGTGTTACGTCCTAGAGGACGAATTTAAGTAAGTAGTATAAGTATTGCCTGTTTATGGTCACTCTGCATTCACCGAGTTTAACCGGGACCAGGCTGGTTCGTTTTCTCGTTTAAACAGTGATAAAATATAGCAAAATGCGTACGATAAAGGGGGTAGATTGAGGAAGGTTTGATTTAAGGGAGAAGTATTGGTAACCGCAGCTCTAATTTAACAATGTTTTTAATGAAAATAAAAGTGGTTTATGACTTACAGTATGTTGTACAGTTGTTCTCGAGATTGCGCAGGAGGCTTGGGGCTGCTTCTTTCCAATGGAAGGTTGAATAACACAATGATTCGAAAGGCGAATTATTCATCGTAGACTAATCAATAGGATTGGATAATGTTCAAATAATGAATAGCTGAAACGCTAGTAGTGAATATGAAGTTTACTGGATAATTATAAGTAGCAACTGAACTATAAATGACTGGTAAAAATATAAATGACCGGAAAACTATAAGTGACTGGTAGCAAATAAGAGTGAAACTATAAGTGAACAACTATAAGTGAGGAGTGAAAATATGAGTGAACGCGGGGACGATGTCCTCTGGCTTTTATATCCCCCAAAAAGTCCTTCGTGGAAAGGGTAGCTCTAGTACCCCCACTCTTTGTCTTTAGCTGGCCCAAGCTTCCTATGCATCTCCGTTTGAGAAGATTCTTACGTCCTTGTGGACTACTAATAGATGCTTATAATATTCTCTTACATATTTTATATTAACATTTATGAATTTCTACCTTTCTAATATTTATCATATATCCTTAGTCAATTACACTTTGCCTTTTCTTACTCGATTACATTTCGTCGATTTTTAATCAGTAACATTTTATTATCCTTCGAACGATTACGTTCTGTTATCCTTTGATCAATTATACACTAATACAATTCTACGTTGAGATAACTTATTCATTATTCTAGGATATATTTAAGTTTACATATTTAGTCATCCGTTTGGTCGTACGCGTAGTTTCGCGAGCTTCATTGTCTTGAGGCGAAAATTGTTAGGAACTATCTTTGATTCTGGAATGTTCTAAAAGTAAATTTCTGTTAGGCCTACGTGACTTTTGCCGGCTTTCGGTTACAAGGGTTAAGAGCGAAATAGGAGGTCCGGGCCTTATTGTTTATGACTTATTCTATTTTTTCAGTTGCATATCAGTAGGAATGTTCCTCGAGATTTTGGTTTCTGTTTTATCGCTAATTCCATATGGGTAAGCATTGGCGGAGGTTCTGATTTCTACGTGAATGGTGAAAATCTCTATTAAGGATTTTATATTAGAAATGTGTTCCTATGCCTATGTTTTGGTAGAGTTTTATTGGGGTTGCCAAGGTCCTTACGTGAGAGAATAGGAGAACATTTGTGGACTATTGAAAGTTACAAGTTTATGAATTTATTTCTTCTTTCTTATGTTCTTCTATTCTCCCGATTCTATACCGAAAGGCGAGGTAAAGGATGTGGTCCATATGGTGTTTAGGAGATAGTGTCTGAGGGATAATTTATAGCTTCCGTATGTGTCTCGCGAGAAACAACTCTTCCAATAGTGCATTCCAAAGTAAAGAATGAATATCGAGCAATGCAAATAATGATTATTCTTTTATGCGTACTACTTATAATTGTTTCTATTGTTATTCATGCGGACTACTGGAATGATGTCTCGCGCAACTGGATTTATATAACTAAGAAAAATTTGGGTAGGCGAATCGTGGCGGAACGTCACACAAGATAAAATAATTTTAATTAAATAATTTCAAAAATAATTTGTGATCCAACGTATATCTTTAAATTAATCTTTAAATGATTATTCTAATAATTAAGAATTATTTTAACCGGCATTTTAATTATTTTTCAAATTACTTCAAATATTTATTTAATAACATATAAACATCTACCCAAAAAGGATTAAATTTATTATTAAAGCAATTTATGAATTATTAATGACAGATATATCGTTGGATCTATGGCGTTACATTCGCCAGCTCCATCACCTCATCAATCAACGGTGAATTTAATTGAGATGATTGCTTCAGAGGACAAAATAACTACGAACGTTGTTATAAATGGTGTCACTACAGATAAAGGCGAGAAAAAATATTACATAACCGGTATGAATAATGAAACAATTCATATTCCTTCGAGAAGAGTGGAAACACCACCACCATTGCCAAGGAAAAATATTCCACCGTGTTCTTGTGCCATACAACAAATGTTCAATCAAGGTGTGACACCAAGATTGAGTACCGATAACATACCATGGACAAAGGACGAAGGTTTATGTTTTGGAAAGAAGTATAGACCAGATACAGTGGCAGCTTATTCTTGTAAAGCGTATCCTGGAGATAAATCGTGCAGATTGAATCCTTTCTTAAAGGAAATTGTTAAATTACAAATGAAAAAGAAAGATAAGACAAATATTCAAGATAATTATAATACTAAGAGGAAAAAAAAAAGGATGTATAGCATAGCTAATTTTCAACCTTGCGGGGATGAACATGGTATGAGTGTTTGTGGTGGTCCATGGGGCACACGTAATATTTTATCTCCTAAAGAATTGGAAGAATTGGAAAGACAACGAAAAGAAATCTTGAAGGTAGATTTTTCTTCTTGTGAAAATAATCATAACTTATAGATAGATCATACATAGATCATAGATCATTTTTTGATGTAATTAAATGTGCAAGGTAATCGATGATAATTCTTTTTCTAGGGCCCACCCTGTGGAATAAGACCTGGACGTGCTGTTTGCGAAGGACCGTTTGGTGAAAGAATACCACAGCCAAAAGAAACCAAAGATGAGGATGAAGAGGATGAGGAAGAAGAAGAAGAAGAAGAAGAAGAAAAAGAAGATGTAATAAAACAGCAAACTGTTCCAATGAAAAAAGAAAAAATCTTTAAACGTGATAAACTTTGTCATGCTAGTCCAGAAACGATAGCAACAAAGAAAAAGATTGTTAAAGAAAAAGTTACCAAATTTATACCAGATCCGGATTATCATGGTTACGATGATTCATGGAATATTTTTCGTACTGCACCGTCAGTTAAAGAAACTATTACGGAATATGAACAAACTTTGAAACTTTCGAAACCTAAACCACGATTGGATTCATCTCAACCGATTCGTGAAGTTTTGAAGAAGAGAAAGAAGAGAAAGAGTAGTAGTGATAGTAAAGAATCCGAAAGTTTCAAATCTTTATCGATAATTCCTAAAGAAATTTCATCAAAAACTATTGACGATGAACAACAAATTACACATACAAAAGTACGTTCGGATAAAATTAAGAAAGAAAAGAAGAGTACGAAAAAGATGAAGGATATTAAAAAGAAACAAACGTTTTCTGCTAAGTTGAAGAAAAATTTGCGAAGAAAGAGAACGGCAAGTACTTCGTCAAAAGGAAGTAGAAGAGGAGGAAGAAGAAGAAAAAGAAGTAGAACAAATTCTTTTTCGAGGAAAGGAATTTTAAGAACGAAAGATAAAATTAAAAGTATTAATAATATCGACCAAAGTGTACAAAATACAAAAGAAATTGTAAAAAAGAAAGAGAAGAACAAAAGGTTGTCGAAAATGTCTAAAGTATTTACCACAAACGATGGTAATTCAAAATGGCATAAAAAGGAAATTAATAACAATAAAAAGAAATTGAAAACTGAACTAGGATCTCATCCTACTACGAACGAATTCAAAACGTCCTTGAAAAATAATTCAATGAACAGACCTCACGATGAAAAGTCAAAGAAAAAAGAAAACGAACAAGATGAGAAAAATTTGAATACAAATACGATTAAAAAAATTCAGAACAATACATTTTCGTTTAATTTGAAAAATGAAAATAAAAAAAAGAGTTCAGCAAAATTTACAAAAGCCTCGAAAGTTGGCGAAGTAAAAAAATACCATAAAAAAAAGTCAGTAAAAGATGACAAAGTTATCCTTAAACCGGAAGATATCAAGCAAGAAATGAAAAAATTGAAGACCATGATGATGTCACCTGACACATATCCTCATAATGTAGAACCAGTTATCCTTCCTTCAGAACCATCATCTTCTTGTAAACACGAATACAGTGAATCTTTGGAAAAACAATCGAAAGATTCAGCTTCTGAAGAAATTGTTAGTTCAGTAAAGATATCAAAAAAAGGTCCTTGTGGTTGGAGGACCGAATCAGAACAAGAATTGCCTGTTAAAAAGACTTTAGCTTATTTGGTAGATCCAGATCCACCTATTGAGATGATTCCTGTCAAAAAAAATGGAAAAGCTTGTGTTTGTCGAGAAAATAGAAATAAGAAAAAGATTTTAATGTATCAGATTGGTGGATCAATTGGAAAAAAAAAAATTGAATTGAAGAAACTCGATAAAATTGCTACGAAAAAGAAAGAAAATAAGGAAGAACGTGACGATATTAAAGTAATAGATGGTGTTATTTATTATACACCACCACCAAGTCGAAGAAGAAGCGACGAATATGTTCCCGAATACGATCTTTATGAGTCACCTTATGAAAAATGTGTTGATCAACGCAAGGATAGTTTTATTAATCTCCTAGAAAAATACACGACACCTCGAGACGTTATGTCAAAGATACGAGATAATGTCAAACCTTGCGAATGCAGTGGTTATCTGGATACTTATGGTATAATAGGTGAACATGCAGAAATAGAAGAATCCAAAAGATTACTGAAGGAAAGAGAAAAATTGATGGAATCTAAATTACCAAAGGAACGATGGGCTTTAGCTTTGAAGGATAAGGGTCTGATGGATTATTACGCTGGTTGTAAACATAAAGTACCATGTTGGACGAAATGTGCTAAATTCAATAAATATATCTGTCCTTTGAAACCACGAAGATTAATCGTGAAGAAGCCTGTTTGCGAGTGTAAATACGAGAGAAAGATAATTGAACGTAAGGAAGAAAGGATAAAATGGAAGGAACGTGAAAAAAAATTAAAAAGTTTTAAAAAGAACGTTTACACGAACGTACAAAATATTTCAAGACCTATGAAAGCTGATACGAAATTGATTATATCTGACGTTAAAAGAATTCCTCGAGATGATGAGTACATTGACGATGTACAATATTGTATATCAGGTGTAGCAGAAAATTATTCTATGGGTCCACCAACAACAGTTATCGAAGGTTTAAATATGGGAACACCTTTGCATACACCAGAACCGAGTAAAGAAAAGATACCGTGTGTTTGTTTGCATAGTCATTGGTCACCGACAAATATACCACCTGGACCATTACCTAAAAAAGAACATGCCTTGATAGAACAAGAAAAACGTAGAAAAGAATACTTGGAAAAGGCAGCACGAATAATTTATAGGCCACACGATGAAGGAAATAACTCTGAGGATTGGTATCGCAGTTGTAAAGCAAAATGTGAACCTGTTAAAATGCATACTGGCAAACGAAAAACAAATAATAAAGTGATGGAAGAGAAAAATGAAAATAATCAATTGATCAATTCGGTAAAACCTGATACACAAAAATCTTTAGATGAACAGAAAACTTTAACTCATAATAAAAATGGGATCGATAAAAATGTAGAAGTACGAACAAATAATAATACAAATTTAAATCAAGATAAAACTATGATAACAGAGAAAAAGATGCACAAAGAGACGAAGAAAAATGAAAAAGTTGTATCGATAAAAAGAAATTCAACAGAACAAGAAGATCGTCAAGATAAAGATATTAATGTTGCAGATGTTAATTTGGAGAATTTGATAAAAGTACGAATAATTATTAATACGATTAATATAATCAAATATTCGATGTTAGATTAAATACGTTAACAACAACATTTCATTTTATTTTTTTTTGTTTACAGAAAGAATTGAAAAAAATGGCCACGGAGGGATTTCTTTTTGCAAAGCTACCAAAATGTCATAGAATGCAACAAATTCAAAATTGGATTATGTATAGGAAAGGATTCGTTTTCAACGACGAAGAGACAGGTTATTTACGTTTAACATTATCATTTTGCACATTTCATTAAAATTAATTTATAAATCTCATATCGAACAAACAATACTCATTTTGTAGATAAATTATTGAGATTATCGTACGTATTTTGGGGAATGGCTGATGTGGCCAAATCACCACAAATTGTAATACCCTCCTTGGATATGTCCAAAAAAGAAATTCATGAATTAACTTTCGATCGTGCTGAAGAAATGAAGAACAAAGTACGTAACGAAGAATAATTAAACGAAACATTTTTACGATTTAATTAAATTTCTTTTTTTGTTTTTATCTTTGACAGATCGCTATGAAAAACGCCATATACTACAGTCAAATGAGAAAAATACGTGTGTTATATAGCAGGTATATGTGGAATACCATGGAATTTAGAAGATATCCATCTTTGTCATTCAAAAAAGCTTTCTTTACTTATATGCCTACAAAGGAAGCCGATGGTCATGTTTTTAAACCTTGGATGACTAATGAAGTTCGTGAAAAAAATTAGGGTTTTTTTCGATCGCATTAAATTTCGTCAGTAATCCATACTCTTCACAAAATATTCCCGTTTAATCAAAGTTATCGTATATATTACATTCAAATCGTCACTCAATTTTTTGGATAACTCAATATTTAATGATAATTATGAACAAAAAGAAATCTGAGAAGAAGAAATAAAAATAACACCTTATATAATTATCTTTCCAAATGATTATACAATACAAAAATTATTGTTGCAATTGTTTGATATGGGAAAATAATAAAAATTAATAATTAACATAATAAAATTCAATAAATACACAATCATGTTGAATAGAAACTTACAATAGCTTATTTAGATACATACTACGTACTATACTATTATTTCTTTGTGTTAAAGTAAATCGTTTTTTCATTGAACGATTCGAGTCCTTTTTAAAAGTAATACACGTACAATGAATTTAAAAGTCTCTCAGTATAAAACTGTTACTATTATCTTTAGAAAAAGAGTTACACACTTTTTCTATTCTCTTATTTTATTTGTATGTCTCATTTAAAACCCATTTAGGGTTTACGTTCATTGATTTTTAATATCTTTAATAAATATATACAGCTAATCACTTATATTGTCAATTTGAAACTATTAATTTTTGCTCGTAAAGCAATTATTTCAAAATTCTTATACATACAGAAACAAAATTAATATTAAAATTATCGAATTTTCAAATTGATATGAAATTTTTCTACATAAGAATTACGAAATCTTACATTTACAAATAAGCATCAGTTATATCAAATTTACATTGATAACAAATACGAATATTCGTGTGATTTGCTATATACAATGGTGGATTACAAAAAGTTGTCAGCCTCAATGAGAAAAACTTTATTAGTTTTTATATTTGTCAATCCACCAACGCATATTCATTATTACGAAATATTATTCTTTTTTCTTTCTATCTTTCTCTTGAATTATTGATTAATATAATTAATACAATTCATTATAATATACCTATATATATATGTATATATATATATATATATATATATATATATATATATATATATATATATATATATATTCCTATGCTTTTTTAAATTTAATTAACAATATTGCCATAGTAAGAAAGATACTGATCCAAATAAAAGTGGCAATGAAACCATAGTAGACAGAAGGCCTTGATATGTCCCAACCTCTGGCTAACATAAACCTCAATGATTCTGTACTTTTCGTTAATGGCAAAATGAAACTAATTTCTCTAAGAACAGGATGCATTCCTTCGACTGGCCAAATTATTCCACATAACATAACTATAGGTAAAAAGGATCCCATCGCAACATAAGTAGCACTTCTTTCGTCTGAACAAATTATGGCTATAGCAAATCCTATAAATAAAAAAACGAAAAAAAACATAAATCAAATAAGATCGAGAAAACAATCAATGTAAATTAACATATAAAAATATAATATTTTAAAGATATATATATAAATGTACCGAAACACATTCCGCATAATCCTGTGAATACAGTTAACAATGAAACCCAAACAATATTACCCTCGCAAGTAACTTGGAACACAGAGAAACTGAATACCACTACCATTACAGTTTGTCCAACCATTACAACGAATTGGGTTAATACTAAGCCGAATAATATTTCAGTACCAGTAATACCTGTGGGGGAAGAAAAATTATAATTATTCATGTTTAAATGTATAAATCATAAATTTATAATATCACAAAATTGAATCATGATGTTTACCGCACACTAAACTTCTTTCCAATAAACCTTCGTTTCTTTCTAATAAATAAGCTCCTGACGTTAAAGCAACCGATAAGAAAAAGATGATGCTAAGAAAAAAAATGTATGTTTTATATAAAAATTGTAATTATTTTGTAAACATTAATAATCATTTAATTGGACGACTTACGTTAAGATAATTCCTGGTGCTGCGAAATCAGTATAATTTGGTTTCAAAGGTCCATAGATCGGTTTTTTAAACTAAATCAATTTACAAGATCGAAAATGAGAGAATATAATTTTGATAGGGAAAATAATTAATCGAATTAAATGATATACTTGCATTTATAACTTACGTTTAATGGTATGCTAGCTAATTTTTCGCTGTAGTTACAAGCAACGGTAACTTCATGAGCAAAATCCATATAAGAATAGAAGATGTTTCTTTGCAAGAGCTGACCAATTTGTTGATCTAAAATTAAAATGAGATATTAAAAGTAAATAAAATAGTATAATATATTATAAGTAAAACAAAAAATGAAAAAAAGTGGGAATTACTACTAATGTAAATGCAAAATACGTTAATAAATTCAAATTACTCGACATATCCATAATGATGTTCAGATCAGAATATATGAGATCCCAATCGTCAGCATCCTTGCCATTTTCTATCCTTGACATTATAGCATCGGAATAATTAGCTGCAAATGATATGACACCCCATGCCCAGCCTTTTTTAACAGCATACTCAGCTTCTTGTTGAGTGTCATATGGTAAAAATATCATAGATGTATTTTTTAGGTGATTTAAAAATCGACAACTCAATAATGTTGTATTACAACCAATTGATGGTATACATTCCTCTGTAGTGCTGTTAAGTTCATTGTTAACAATAGCAAATGTTAAACCAACGGGATCTTTTCCAATAGAAAGGCAAAATAAGACGATCTGTATTACTGGTAAACCGAAGATGAACGCCATTATGCTAAATAAATTGACTATTATTACGATAATTGATTACAATGATATTGCTTTTATATATGTATAAAAAAAAAATTAATGTCAAATATTTATTAATATTTACCCAAAATTTCTCCACATCCATAAAAAGTTTTTCCATATTAATGCTTTCATATGTTGTAAATTTATAACATTGAATTTTGAAACATCTTGTTCTTTCGATGGTAATTCCGGTAACTAAATGTAAAAAAAAATGAATTTTCAATGAAAATAAAGTTACATTAATCTTTAAACTCATTTACCAATATAACGTGACTCTCTTAAAATCCCTCTTACATTTGCTTCATCCGTAACGACTATGCTTCTTCTACGACTAGATATACTAACGTTGTCACCAAATTCGCCACTCATCTCGTCATCAGCGTCCTACGAATAAAAAGACATAAAGAAATAAATAATTTTATTATAATTAAAGGTAAAAAAAGAAAATGAAAAAAAAAATACAAATGAACTTACCGGTTCCGGTGGTACACCGGTAACACTACTGAGAATACTACTTCTTCTTCTGAGACCCATATTTTGACGTTTGCTAAGTTTTAAAAATACATCTTCCAAAGTATCCAATCTATGCATTTCCATCAATTTGGTAGGTGATTCTTCAGCAAGAAATTTACCTCCCCTCATAAGACCAATTATACTCGCTTGTCTGGTCTCCTCGATATAATGTGTCGTTATGATTATTGTTTTTTTACCATCCTCCGTTAACTGGACTAAATGATCCCAAATATTTTGACGTAATACTGGATCAACTCCTACGGTTGGTTCGTCCAAAATTAAAAGTTCTGGATCGCCCAATAACGTTGCAGCGAATGATACCCTTCTCTGTTGTCCACCCGAAAGATTTTTAATGAAACGATTTTCCGATGGCAATTGCAAGAACTAAAATAACAATCGATAAAATAATAATCATTAAAATAACGATTTATTCATGAAAATAGTATTACCTTTAAAAGGAATTCCAATTTAACATTAATTTGTTCGGTCGTCATACCTGCGATCCAANCCTTCTCTGTTGTCCACCCGAAAGATTTTTAATGAAACGATTTTCCGATGGCAATTGCAAGAACTAAAATAACAATCGATAAAATAATAATCGAAATCTCTTAAAAAAAAAAAAAAAAAAAAAAAAAACATTAAAATAACGATTTATTCATGAAAATAGTATTACCTTTAAAAGGAATTCCAATTTAACATTAATTTGTTCGGTCGTCATACCTGCGATCCAACCAAAATATATAAAAGTTTCTTTTATTGAAAATTCACTATAAAGTGCTATTTCTTGTGGCATGTATCCTAATCGTGGACCTGGTACACCTGATTCTTTTGATCCTGGTTTACCACCTAGTACCCAAATTTCTCCGGAATTCAGACGTCTTCGACCCACGATACAGGATAATAAAGTTGTTTTTCCACAACCACTCGCACCAAGTAGACCATAACTAAAAATAAGAAAAAAAAAAATAGGAAAAAATTTTATTCGCCTTGCCGAATATTTTTAGAATATATCATCTTTATTTATTTTTCATTAATTATTCATTATTCTGATATCTTAAAAAAGAAATATCTTACGTGAAAATAAATGGACAACATTTGAAAATATTCCCATTGAGAATAATTGGGCTTAATTATTTATACTAATCTTATATAAAAATTAACATAATAAACAAATATCTTGCAAAATCTTATATCATCGCATATATTTCGTATCGTTTAATATTTTTGACACGATTAAACAAATTTTATTTTTTTTATGTTTATGTTTACTTTCTATTTATGTTTATCTCTTAACACTTCTTATCAAAGTGATCTAAATCTATTTGTATTTTCTTTTCTCCGAAATATATAATACATTAAAATATTATCACAACGAAGTTGTGTTTGAAATCTTACGTAATAAAATTTACCGTATTTAACGGTATTGATATTTCAAATATCACCTATTTAAGTAAATATCATTTAAATAATTTATTTTTACTTCTTTATTTTAATATATTATATATTTTATCTTTTTTTCTTGTTTAACACTAAACGTACCATGACCGGTTAAATAACCGATTATAAACTTTTTATTAGAAAATTCGCATAAAATGTTATCACTTTTTCTAATTTTACTTCATGACTTTTTCTTTTAAATATATTCAATTAATTTTTACGTTAAATTTAATTAATAATTTGTACGTTGCAGTACAAATAGGTATATATTAAGTCTCGGTACGTTTAGTGTTAAATAAATTTGAATTATATATATATATATGTATATAAGATATATATTAACTCACATCGTGCCTTTAGGTACCGTCATATTTAATCCATCTAGGACGATATTAAAATTCTTTTTCGGTCCATATTTCTTACACGCCCTTCTAACGCATACCGCTTGCCTTCTTCTTGCATCCAAGGTCGATGTTTGCGTTTGAAATTGTGCTCGCCTTGTTTTCAACTCCAAAGAAGCTGTTGGTACTGTTGCATTTGACAGATTCATGATCTAAGAAGTATACAAAAAATCGAATCGAAATGAATATGCATATGTTATTACGAATAAACACGTATGGCTATGTCATGTTATGTTAAAGTCGCTTTATCAAGAAAAAACACAAGAAAAAATCAACTGTCTTATTAATACATTTGCGATTGACACTGTGATCGCAACTTGATATCATGTATAATCATTTGAAATATAAAACATTATATTATTAAATGAAACAATAATATTACAATTGAACAAATTTAATAAAACAAAAACAAAATTTTATTAATAAATAAACTAATTAATAATTGTAATATATTTTTATTGAAAGGTATTACTTCATCAATATTCGTGTGGATATTTTGAAATGACGTAAAATAAAAGGGATCAAGTATAAATTTACAATGTCATCATATTCGAATATTAATATTAACTGTAAATAATCAATAATTGATGAGTCTTGATAAAAATTGAGGTCAAGGGACATAAAAAAAAAAACTCTGACCAAATTCTCAATAAAAGTTATTTGCATATTCTCATTACCTCGCGAGGAGAGCATTATTTATTACTTATATATTAAAAAGTATATATATATATAAAATTCGATATATATTACACAAGAAAAAAGTAATACGGGAAAATATATATACGTTCGATCATCAAAAGTGTAACATGTATTTCGTGACGTAATGTTACGAAGCCGTATGTGTTAAGTTACACCGTAAGCTATACACGTAACATGTACAATGTGTAAGTACGAGCGAGATAGTAGAAATGAAAGATCACGTTGAGGCGGGAAAAAATCGACGATTCAAAGTTTCACCATTAGAAATGAAAGTATAACTATTTATGGCAATAATGTAGTAAATTAGAACAAAGAAAAAATCTTTATCGTATCATAGTTTCAAAACTTTTTATTGTAATCGATTTTCTTTAATCTTTTTTTTTTCTTCTATTTTCGTCAGCATATAACTTTTATATTTTGTTCATTCACAAATACACTGTCTCGTTGCTTTCTTTCGAAAAGATATATTTTTTAAAAGAAAGAATAAAAAAAACAAAAATTTTATTCAAGTTGTCGAATATTCGCATTATTTATTTCTTATTAATTATTCATTGATCTGATATCTTAAAATAGAAAGATCTTACGTGAAAATAAATGCACAAAATTTGAATATATTTACCATTGAAAATAGTTTTGCTTAATTATTCATACTAATTTTATATAAAAATTAACATAATAAACAAATATTTTACGAAATCTTAAATAATAATGGTTAAAAAGCTCCATAATTTGTTTTACACATATTGTTTGATACATTATTTTTCTTATTTTTTTGTGTTTGTGAATAAATGATAGTTAGAACGATGAATCGATGAAGTTGTTTTTTTGTGTGATTAGAACGAAACAGGTAATAATAATTATCGAATAAAAATTCTTCAATACATGTGTAGGAAGACATGTGTTCTATGCCACGTGGATTTACGTCGCAGCATCCATTCCTTGATTAAAAGAAAGAATTAGATACGTCGGATTGTTATAGTATATTTATCTAATAAAAATAAAAAATTCTTAGGTTTCGGGCAAGGTGTATTATTCCGTTTTTAGTTTTAATAGTCACCAAACGTATATCGCGTAATTCATTAGTGATGTAACCTCAAACATTGTAGGTCGTACTCTCACTTCTTTTGATTATTTTTCTTGACGGTCCAGCAGTAAACCTTTCTCCTTTAACTTGTTTTAAAATCGATCTGTTTGATTTCAAAACGATTTCTCAATTTTTGTGCATAAATAATTTCCAAATGTATAGAAGATGACTCAAGGATGGGAGAAAGATTAAGAGTGCGAGTGTATGGTATGCATGAAACAATTGATGAACGTTGAAAGATTTGTAAGTATATATAGCGATATGAGTATGAGTGCGAGTACATGTAGCAATATGAATACGAGTTTGTGTTAAGGAAAGAAAAGCGAGCGTGTATAACGATATCGTCTGATGTTATTGTTTGGTAAGCTAACCGAAATCTCTCGAATATTCTCGAACCGGAAATCGGAAATAAGTCCTTCACTTAATCGATTGGAAATAGTCAAGAGATTTCGAAAAAGATTGACGAAAGTGATTAGGACCATTGGTGGGGTGAATATGTATATAAGCACGATGAAAAAGGCAACCTTGCCCTTTTGATTTGGTGCGACTAGTTGTGAGTGAACGAGTGTAATACAAGTGTAAGATTCCTAACTATTGTTACTTACTTTTTTCTTTTCGATTTCTATCTGTGTGTGTGTGTTTATTCTTATATATTAACCGTTTTAGTCCGGGGGTTTTTAAAAATCTTTGTCGGAATGTGCCATGAATAGCGCATTCGTCATTTTCCTGCGAGTTATGCCGATCGACACGGTCGCGTTGCTAAAACACATATATTTCTGTATAAAGCGTGTTGCGAATCGACGATCGCGAACAAAATTAGCGAAACGTTTTACCACACCACTCGAAAAGCGCGATCGCGTCGCATGGCACTAAAACAATTAAACCTTAATATTTAAGTATTTGTTCTATTATAATAAATACTTCTTCTTTAAATTCAATAAATCTTACAATATTGCCTTTTTCTTTCTTTGATTACATCCGCCGTGTGAATTGTTAACCTTTTTAAAATCTTACGTTTTACGGCAGAAGTGTAAACAGTAAAATCTTATTTACAAATGTTCCACGATAATTCTGATCTAACAGAGTTTCGAATACGTGTGCGTTAACCGGACTTTGTCTTATTACTCATATGTATGTACACGTTGTATTTAATGTTTTTTAAAAAGAAAAGATAATATATTTCACAATGTACCGAATTATTTTCTCTTTTGCATTACCGTCATCGATGTTTATTATTTATACACGTTGACGAATAATAATACGTATTTCTTTATCCATAAAGAATAACTCAATTAAAAATTTACTAATACTCTTTGCCAAACCATTTTATTTACAAAAAAAAAAAAAAGTAGTAAAGATCGAATGAATGAAATTTCTTTCTTTCATCGTTAATCAATTTTTGTGTGCATTACTTGAAGTGACAAACAAAAAATTGATTAAAGAAAAGTCTCTTCATCTACACCGAGAGCTCTTAACATTGAAGTGTTAAGAAACGTTAAGAGATGACGATAAAAAAAGAAAAAAAAGAAAAACTATAATAAGTTTAGTTCGATGATTCTTGTCGTGAATTAAGAACGAAACAATCGTTTACAGATTCTATATGAACTAACACACTCGTTAATGTAACTGGAATGAAAAGGAAAGCCGATTTTATATCTGTGAAACATAAATTCACATGCGCTTACGCATTATGCATCTAGTTAGGTACATTACAAATTTTATATTTTTTAACGTATCAACGAAAAAATACCTCGGACAATGGATGATAAACGTAAGGGTAAACCAAAGAAAAAAATATATATTAAATGACAAAAACTAATGACGCTGATAAACTACTAAATTATATTGCAATTTTTTTTCTCGATTTTTCAACCTGTACGCGATTATTATGATAATGATTATAAGAATAATTACAAAAACAATATTTTTATTTTCAAGGAATAAACCAATTTGTTTGTTTCTCAGAATGATCGTCTCTTCTTCCTCACCTCCCTACCTTAAAAGAAAGAGAGAGAGAGAGAGAGAGAGAGAAAGAAAGAAGTAGGAAATGACAAAGATTACGAGAGATATCATTTATTTTTGTTTTCTTTCTTTTTTCCTTCTTTGCACGCGTGTGCACCTGTATTTACAAGTTTCCGTGTGATAGTGCATGACTACACGTAGCAAAAAAAAAATTAACGTTAAAAAATCAGTTAACGTACGATAATACATATAAGGAGATGCAAAGTTAATAACAATGACAATGATAAACATGTGAGAATGAAAAAGAAATATGGAAGAAGAAAAATTTTCCAAAGGTGCAGAGAAAAGAAGAAAAAAGAAACCGGGAATACGATTGATTATTGCAATATATGTAAACGATTTTGCAGTTTCCCCGTGTGTCATTCTGTTAACACTATTTGCAATTCCTTTTTTCTTTGTTTTTTATTTAAATAATATAAGCAAACTTTTTATGCTGAGTCAATCTTTCATTTAAGTGAAGATGATGCGTAGAAAAAGGCGTGTTGTAAGTCCATGTTTGCTTGACATTTAAATACGCATTGATAGAAAAAAGAAGAAGAAGATGAAGAAGAAGTGAAGGAGAATAAAAAAAAAAAAAAAAAAAAAAAAAAAAACGAAAGAAAGAGAGAGAAAGAAAGACAAATCTTCAAGGAATTCAATTCGATCATTTTAATCATTTACAATATTTATGAACAAATATAATTGAATTGATCTAACAAAATATGTGTTCACTAACCTGAGTAAGCACGTTAAATTGTTTTGAACTTTTGAGACACCAGATAGTCTGAAAGAGACGTTAAGTGAACTGACGGGATAATAATCCCTCTTCCTTTTCTTTTATTTTTTGATTCGTCGATCCTTTATCGAAGCACGATTTCAAATGTTCCATTGTACGAAAATTCCATAATAAATGTTTCTAAATCAAAATAAAAAAAATGTAGAATAAAAGGTTAATGATTTCTATGTGAAAAATCACGAACACTTATCAGAGCACAAACGAGTTAATAGTAATGGTAATAACACCAGCTATGAGATAATAATAATTATAATGATTATGATGATGATGTTGATAACAGAATGAGGAAGAGTAAAGAAATACAACAAAGGATTCTCACTGCACACTCTCATGAATTCAATGCCGAACTGAAGAGAATTTTCTAACAGCGGAGGGTTTTTGTGCTTGCCGAATCGAGAAAATAATATAAAAACAACGAAGATACACCGTCTTTCTATTTCTTTCTTGCTTGCTTTGAACTTGACCCTTTTATTCTTTTTCTTTTTATTATTTTATTATTATTATTATTATTTTGTTTTTTTTTCTTTCCCCACGCGTTCCAATCGTATGATCAAATAAGAATTTATTTCTGGTCAAGTATTTTTATGTTTGATAATTTTGTTATACAACAAGGAAAGTTACCACAACGAAAGTAGCCAAACGAGAAGGAGTAAAGAGTAAGAGTGAAAAGTATGAGAAACAAGGAAAGGGATAGAAAGAAAGAGAGARGGAAAGAAAGAAAGAAAGAGAAAGACGATACGATACGATCCGTTCGCTATACCGGAGAGAACTGGCCCGATCACTCGCACGACCAGAGTACCAAAGACTTGTGCAAGATACCAAAGTCGTCTAACAAAACTTACCGTGGCTACAGCTACCTGATGTGTCTGGCGATCCAACTTCTTTCTGGTGGGAGCGTTAAACCTAAGAATGGAAGACTCATTTGACATTCGATTTAAAACTTTTTTAACCACCGTTTCAACTTCAAATTTTTTGTTTTTTTTTTTCTTTTGAATCGTTGATTGCTTGTAAAATTATCTTACATTTACCATTGACACTTTATAAATAATACTCTAATAATAATCGTTAATAAATTTATCAACAGCATGAAGTATAAAATAAATTTATAAAAAATTAAATTGAACTTTATCGATATACATATTTATATATGTATAATATTTTTGATTATATTTTAGATACAATCGATCTTCGAATACGGACACGTATTATTTTGCTTTTACGTTTATGTTACTATTAACAAAAACAGTTAATAACACGTTTACTCGATATATTTTCAATCAGGATATCACGAAGACAGGATACGCAATACGACGACAAAGTATATTTTCATCGATAGAAAATATTTATTATGCGAAATGTTTCGATTAAAACAACATAATAATTCTTATGTTTTATTTTAATATGATAACATTAATATAGCACGTAATCGATAATCCGAAATTAATACATAATTATATTCATTTTATATGTGTAGTTTAAATGGTGGCTAAACTTGTTCAAGAAATTCGAATAGAAATCGGAACGGCAATTTAGTAAGAATCGTGTTCTTGCAAAATGACTTTTTCTTTTCGTTTCTTCTTTCAAGATTCCTTCCTTTCTAATAATAATAATAATAATAATAATAATAATAATAATAATAATAATAATAATAATAATATTAATATTAATAATAATAATTGACGCATAACGCAATTTCTCAGTTTTTATTAAAGAGAATAAGAGGAGAAGAAAAGAACTAAAGTATAATAGACAAAAATAAGACGCGTGTTATTTGACGTTAAACTTAGAATAAAATTAACAATAAAATGTGACTCGTGGATATGTCACATTCAGTCATCACGTGGTATAATAACGATAGAGTCGTCATTAAAATCATAAGCAATCATTTGATGAAGGTATCCAGTCGCTAAATAAAAATACAGATGACACTTTGTACTCAAGTCAAGGATAAATTTTGTCCTTCGATTTTAATTTTAATAAACGTCATAAACAGTAGACCGATTAACTGATTAGTTTTCTTAACTAAATTGTATTTGCTTCCACATTTACACTCTAACTAGCAATTTTTATTTCACTTTTCTTTTGTTTATTTTTTGTTGTTGTTTTTTATTTGTAAATTATTTTCAATTCTCGTCGTTTGAAATTCCATGAACGTTCTAGTATCTCCTACGAGTAGGAAAAAGTAGAAAAGTTGGCATTCGAAATTTGCATGGAACATAAAAATTCACAGAATAATGTGAGATGAGTTTTTGAAGGACGCTCGAGGAAAGAAACATCATTCGTTTCTTTGTTAGAAGAAGGCTGTTTTACTTTTACTTCTTCTTCTTCTTCTTTTTCTTCTTTTTCTTCTCTTTCTTTTTCTTTTTATTTATACCATGAAATTCGCAAAAAGTTCGAAAAAAAATCGTCAAGGTTCCTCCAGCAAAGATTTCTTTTTGGGTTGGTCAAAATTACAAAAATAACCATGATCTCATGTATCTTGTTACAATTATCATTACCTTGATATTTTTTATCTAAAAAAAAAAAAAATAAAACAAAAAAAAATATCACTGATCATGAAATTTCCTGCATAAACTAAACATTTGAATGATATCACGTTACGTGTAACCTTGATAAAATTTCTCTTAATAATTTTCATACTTTCGCGAAACAAAAAAAAACAAAGAAACAAAAGAGAAACAAGAGAAAAGAATAAAGATACGTAAAAAAAAAATAATATTATTGCAAATCCAACAATTAGTAATGCTAGAAGTTTTTACGTAATATTACGTGTGGAAAAATAAATTCATAATTTCGAAACGAAGCGTTAATTTTATGATACATTTTTTTTCTAACGATTTCCAACTATTATTACGGTCAATAATCATGAAAACAATAAATTTAAATTAGTAAATCCCTTCTCCCAGTATGATATACGGTAAGATTAAATAAGCGATATCGATTAGAAAATTTCACGTAATAATTAGAACTTGTTCATAAATATTGCGACACATGCAATAGAAAAAAAGAAAAAGCAAAACTTACAATTGATTACAATTGATAAAGTCTATTAACAAATAAACTTTTTCTTTTTCAAAGTTAATCTCATTTCATTAGATTATGAATTTATAAATACTTTTTGTTTCAAATGGAATCAAATGTTAACTTCGATACTCAGAATCTGCTTATATACATAAAAATCTATACAATTTAATTATACTTATGTAAAATAAATAATATCTAAAAAAATCTGTTATAATAATTACAATAGAGAATAACATTTGTAACATGTCGAGAATAAGTAAGTACAAAAGTCAATGTCATGATTTTCTGATGACATTTTGTTTTATTTTTTTTTTTATTTTTTATTAATGTCGTTGATGATAGGTTGCATATAATAATACTATTTCCAACATACACGAACGTATTCTTTTTGCCCGGATAAATATCTCAAATGAATCCTTTTTTTTTTCTCTCCATCAAACATCAATAATTCTTCGATTAAGATATTATTACGTCAATAGATACGAGACGAGATTATCTGTATGAACGCAAAGATTAATATCGGTTAAGAAGGGGAAAAACCGATGGATAAAAAAAAATTTTGCATTCCTTTTTTATTCGAAAATGATTGGATAGTATCGTGGTTTAATGTTATAAAAAAGAAGAAAGAAATTGGAGAAAAGGATAAATGTAGTACATAAAAACAGACGTATATTTTTTTTTCTTTTTGTTTTCTTATTCTCAGCTTTATTATGTAAATTTTTTTAATATTGATTATTCTTCTTATTGTTGGTTGATCTTTAACACTTGGAATAAGAAGAACTGTAGGCAGAAATGCTAACCTTAGGTACACATCATGTGTTTACGTGTCAAACCGAGCGTGAATAATTTACAAAAACAAGAAAGTAAGAGAGAATGAGATGGAAATAGTGACTACAGGTGGAAACTTTCCGAATGATTGGTATTAATAACTTCGATGGATTTGACCATGAAGAAATATCATAGAACCTTGCACTTAACTTCGTTTACAATAACATTAAATTTATGCATGTATATATTTATATAATTAATTTTAATTTATTCATGTAAATATATATACGTGTAAAAATGTACACAAATGTGTATAACTCGAGATAACAATTTTCTTATGAAAAATGGAATTGAGAGATATAGAAAAAAAAAAGAGAGAGAAATGAACAAAGCTACTATTTTAAAGATTGCGTTTCTTCGGATTTATTCTTGTCTACAAATGGAATAGAAAAAAAATATATACAAATGAGAGTAGAGGATAGAAAAAAATGTATTACAGTGCTTAACAAAAAATATTGTCGTAAAGACGGTTTATTATATTATTTTTTGTTAACTTGTAAAAACAATTATTTATTTAATCTCTTTCATTTTTATTAAAATTTATTTTTTATCATCATTAAACTTTCGTGTGTAATGATTTGTGTCTCTGAATATCTTTTGAACGCTTAATTTAATCGCCAAAACATAAGACACCATTTTTATAGAGCAGTTAATTTCCTACAAAAATTTGTATTGTGCACTTTTTAATAGTCATTTATTGTAGAGTTATAAAATTCATAAGCAAAAATGAGATTTGTCTAAAAATCATCAAATTTAAATCTTTAATATCATTCAAATGGTGAGGTTTACGGAAAAAATATAAGATACCTTTTTTGTAGAGCATTAAATTTCGTATAAAATTCGTCTAGAACATTTTTCTGTACAATCAATAAATAATGAGGTATGAATTTTAATCTATTGNAAAAAAATAAAAAACTGCGATGCGGAGGATCTTCCTATTAAAATTAAGAGCTCATATTTGGTGAGAATTGTTTTAAGGTGTCTAGAAACCCATTTTTGCGTGGCACTTGAAAAAAAAAATAAGTCATTTTTTTGACCCACCCTAATATACATATATAGCGATTGATATATAAAATGGAGATTCAATTAGCGTAGAAAAAAATATGATAAGAAAATATGTGATGTTAATAGTTAAAAATAATTTCAAGCGTAAAATGACCGTTCAGGTTGCATTATTTATTTTATTTCTTTATTATACATCAATTTATTGGATAACGAATAATCCTGAATTGTTTATCAATATGTGTCCATCGACTATTTTGAAAAAAAAAATTCCTACTATCGAAAACAATATGACCTGCTCTAAAATCGAGTTTATTGATCATTCAATATTTATTAATTTAGATCTAGAAAAGAACAAAAATAAACAATATTCTATTTTCAATGAGGTAGATGATTATACTTTAATAAAATTATTCCTATCAATTTGAGTTAATTCTAATTTAAATAAAAGAAACGATAATAATAATTTGTATTCCTAAATATGATGAGGATTATTAAAAGTTGATTTTTTAGTTACTTAACGCATTACAACTCAATTATCTTTGACGTCCAGAAAAAAAAATTACATAATGTGAAATTTATAGTATTATTCATTTATATATTTTGACTGGTTATAACTTAAATTCATAAAAAAGGAAAAAAATAATATTAAAAACTTCAAATTACTATCCAAACTTTATTATATAGCGAAAAATTAATCTTATGACGATAAAATGAAAATAAAAATGTAAACTTTTTAATTATTATCGCAATAAAAATAAAATCCAAATATTATATAATCATCGTCATAATTTTTTTGACGAAATCTCAGCTTTCATTTATGATTTATTGTAACTTTGCAATCATCGATATTTTATAAATGGAAAAATCAAAATCCATAATTTCTCCGACCCTTTTTTTTTCTCTTTTGAAAAGTATCTATAAGATCGCATAATAGTATATGTTACGTACAAATTTGCAAGTAACGTTCGTATAAATGCAATACCAGTAACGTTGTTTAGTATAAAATCTCGTTAAACAATGACAACACTGACACATTTTCAATTAGTCACAAGGTTAACCGGTTTGAGAATAAACTAGTTTTCATTTTAAATCTTCTCATACCTTATCCTACTATACTAAGGAAGCGAGAGAGAGAGAATCTTTTTTTTTTAAATCATTATTTAGAAACAAAAGAAGGACTAATAATTATTAATGACACTTAACGTATTCACGTTTATTTTTTCTAACAATGGAGGTCATTTTTATGGACCATTTGCTTATCTAAGAACATTATACAGCATCTAAGAACATCAGTTATTTTCTTTAACAATGTTTTTTTTTTGGGAGACTATATAAAAAGTCAGACAGTTGTCAATGCAAATAAGATGTTATGACATTGGTCATTTGTAATGCTGTATTACGTTTATGCATATTATTTATTTCGATTCAAACTAATCCTGTTTTAAAATTCTAACAATCATTTGATCCGTCATCACCAGTGAACAATTATGTCATTTGTTCGAATTTAAAATTGTTAAAACTTTATGAATAACTGTACAAAAAAAAAGTAGAAACTTCTGATATAATATCAATCAATGTATACTAATATTCTTCACGCATGAAAAGCTTTCACTTAATACTTTCATAATACTTTCGCTTTACGAGCTAAAAGCAAGGATAGAGAAATATATATATATATATAAAGAAAAAAAAGAAAAGAAAAGAAAAGAAAATTCATGCAAATAGTTGATTTATTATAACATATTTTGTTATATCATCGAGATAAGTGGATTTAAACTGCTCAAGTTTTGTTTTTTTATATGTTGTTATATGAAATAACACGGAAATACAATTATGCTTCGGCAAATAAAGATTAACTGATGAAAGTACAGCATTGATTGTAACTTCTTTGATTTAATCTTCTTTTTTATAATATTTCTTCTACCTTTTTCATTTAGTAAACTTCATCATGTCATCTTCCTGAATGTTATTATTGTCGTAAACAAGTTCTTATTTCTAAATAGATGATGAACAAAAATGTTCAAAAGTTCAATAATAACATCATTAAATTATTACACAAATTGAATATGATAATATAATAATATAATTACGAATGATTAAGAATATTTTTCAATTGCAATATGTATGATTAATTTTTTTTTTTATACTCGAACATAATATATGCGAAATAAAAGAAAACAATTATTCTTTTGCAGATATTTACATTAACGACGTAAGAAAATTATTTTATCGATCGAAAATAATATAGAAAATTTGTATATTATTAGCTTGTAGTATTTTATCGACGGCCGGTAATATAGAAAACTAAATAATTTGTAATTCGTCAAAAATGTCGTTAATGGAAATCGATGCTTACCAAAAAGGAATCTGTTTACAACCAGACAAACAACTTAGGATGATTAGTAAACAGTCATCCGGAGTTAAGTAATACCGTTATCAGTTCTTCCATAAGTAGAATCCCCTCCACATTTTTACGCCAGAACTCACATAACTGCTTCATGATCAGTGTGAAGGAACGAAGCGCATCAGAGTCAGTCGAGAATTTATTACGGCCACAAATGTTAGATGTGTCGGTTGAAGTTGTTATTATAATTATTATTCATAAAATTATATCAACATTGTCATGTCTTTCCAGTCAACCTTGTAGCTTTTGTAACCCTGCGTTCTACATTCCACGATCTGCTTTGATTTAATTATTTTTCTTTCTTTCTCTCTCTCTCTCTCTCTCGAAGAGATTTTATTTCATAAAGTTTATGTATGTTTTTAAAAATAGTTTGTCACAAAAATTGAATAGGCCAAAAAAGAATAATTAGTGTGTCGATGATAAAGGTTTTTTTTTCTAATAAAAATGATTTTAATAGGTATCGTGAGGATTTAAATGAAAAACCAAAAAGAAATAAAGAGGACCATTGTTACTAAAAGTATTGTTACATCAAGAATCATAAGAAGAATATCTACAGAGAGATTCTATTTTGATTTACTGCGAATAAGGAAACAATTAATATGTAAGTAGAATAATAGATTGTACTGTTTGTATTTAGAGAAAGTTCACGTGGTCTACTTAACATGACATTCAATGTTCCATAATAATAAAAATTTAGTAGTAACGTTGTTTGATACTTAATATCCAAATAATATAATTCAAATAACATTGTTGCTTCATAATATAACAATGTTTTTTGTTTAAATGAACTTTGTTTAATTAGGAAATTATTTTTCTTTTCTATTCATTCTACGACCAGTCAGCAAAAAAATTATGACTGTCATAAACGAGAACATGTTAAATAGATACAATCATTTTCTTTAATTAATTGTCACATAAGTATAATTGTGAATGATGATGGATAATTTTTTATATCATTCATTTCGACTAATCTAATTAACGTTCAATATCAAGCATAAAAGTACTAGCATCAAAAGCAAATGAATATTAACAAAATCTAAACGATAACAAAAAGGTCATTCGAAAAAATTGATATCTAACTTGTATTAATTTTTACACAAAAAAAAAGAAAAATATTAATACGTACTTCGTATTAATTTTTTACTCATTGAATCATTTTAATTATCGGAAATGTTATTAAAATAAACATTGTTGCATTTTATTATTAAACGTGAGTTGAACAATAAGTATAATTTTTAATTGCATTTGTATTTTAATGATTTGTATTAAATATACGACATTTGTCAATTTAAGAAAAATTATAATAAGACAATAACGACAAAAATTATCTTTTTCTAATTACATTGTCGTCATATTTATCACAATTTATATCGGCACGAATATTTTTGCTTACTTTCGTTTATAAATTATTAAAAAGATTGAAATAATATTCGAAGAATGTTGAAATTATCAAACACATTAATTTATCGAAACGATTAAGAACTCGTAAACATATATTTTCTGTAATGAAATTTTCATTAGAAAGAAAATTTGTCATATAATTGACAAAAAACAAATTTTGATAATAATTTGATTTTAATGGATAGTAATATATTAATGGTTTTTATTTCTTTTTAATGAACTTTTCTAAACATTAAATTTATTAAATATTTTTAGCATAGCTCGACCAATTATATAACGATTAATATAAAGATTAAAAATATTATATACCTTAATGTACATATTATTTATTCATTGAAATGTTAACTTTTCAATCGTTAATATTAATAGCTCGTTTTTGTTATTGAACTCAGGAGAAGCTAAGTAGAGTCCTTTCAAATCTCACAGAGGGAAGAAGACTTGGTTCATATTTAAAAAAATTGAAGAATTAGAAAAAGAAGAAAAAAAAGAGAAACAGTAAAAAAATATTTTCGAAAAGGTAAACAAACTTATCCTATATCAATATACGACAATTCGTCAGTTTAAGAAAAATTATAATAAGACAATGACGACAGAAATTATCTTTTTTGGAATTGTTGAAATTACCAAACTGATTATCCTATATCAATATTAGAAAAGATATAGACATCGGCGATTTGTGAGACACACACATCGCTGCTATTGTAGACTACTACTCTACTACAGCTAAAGAAATACACGTCTATGTGAAATTTCAACTCGCGTAAAATATACAAAAAATCTGTGGTTTAAACTTCTGAGTCTCTTCTGGTTAAATCAATTTAATAGTTTATATTAATACTAAAAAATACATTTTTTTCGTACAAAAATTTTTAAGATTTGTAATACAAATAAATACGTATCTATTTTAAATTGTATTGTTCAAAAATATTACAACATTTAATGTAAGCATTATCTTGTATTCTTACAATTTGCATATACAGTTAACCTTCCTATAATACGGTAGATAGATTCCTGGAAAATGCCATTTTGTGTGAGATTCTTGTTTTCAGATCATGGATATGAAAAGAAATACTTTCTGCAAGACTGTATCTTTAAGACGGCATACCTCGCTGCGGCTGTAGAAGTACAGTGTTATACAAAGGTTTTTTGAAAGGATGCCGTGTTGTAGTAGGGTTCCCGCAATTTATGAATCGTGTTACAGATAGCCCTAATACAACATGGCATTTTTTTATAATACTGTTTCGCTATAACACGATTCATAAATTACGGGAACCCTCCTACACCACGGCGTCCTATTATACGGTTTCTCCTTTCAAAAAACCTTTGTATAGCACTGTACTTTTACAGCTGCGGCGAGGCTTACCGTCTTAAAGATACAGTTGCGGAAGGTACAGTTGGCCTTGGCCTTTCGCACATAATTGGTTCCGGAAAGTGTGTGTGAATGTTGAATGTTCGAAAGTAGTGGGATGTCAAAAAATATGCACCAAAAACTGTGTTTTAAAGTATTTATCTAAATCAGCAAAACACACAACACGTTGATGCACGCCCTAATGCAAGACTGAAACTGTTTTGTTCTCTTTATCCGAACAATGTCATTTGATGGCTAGTCTGATGTCCGCTGAAAGGGGACATCCGATCGCAGAGAATTAAACAGTTAAATCTTTAAAAATGTACGAAATAGTGAATTGTGAAGAAATCGCGAAAGTCGAGGGTCGCCTGTATTTCTTTTCATCTCATAGGGGGATTTCCTGTATAACGAAAGTGCTTTAAGATTCCGTGTTGTATGAGGGCTACCTTTATTTACATAGACGCTCATTATTTTTCAATAACCTATTAAATCATAACGTATAATTATATTGATATTAATTTATCAAATAAATCACATCATACGATAATTTAAAAACAAAAGAATTTTATTAGTAAAATAATGTATTTAATTATTTTTTATCATTATTTGTATTTCACGTATCAAATTATTTATTTGTATGACGCAAATCAAATTAATGGATGAACATTGCTCATAAAAAAGCTAATTTATGTAACATTTAACATACAAATCACGATTTAATCGATGACTCAGGGTATTTCATATGATTTCTAAGTAACAGTGTATTATAATCAGTTGATTTGTTTTTAATTAGGAATAAATATATATATTATACTCTCAAATCGCSTCAAATATTTGTATTGTTAAAATAAAATTTTTGATTTAAATAATTAAAAARAAAAGAAAAAAACAACGGCTTAAACTTATCGTAAATTAATAGGAAGAATAAAAGATATTTTTAATATTAAAAATACAATTTATAATCAATAATAGATTTGAGTAAGGCATACTATGAAATTAACTTATTTTAGTAAATAATTAGATTTCGTCGAATTTGAAAATATCATAAAATAACAAATATAATATACTTACGAAGTTTAATCCCCTTCAATTTATAATCGGATATGTATCAACGTAATTTCTTATGAATATATTCATTAAAAAGTAAAGATTGTAAATTTTCTTATAATGCGATACAAATGATAGACATAAACCTATAAGCATTGGACAAAATTTGAATAATAAGATAAATCTTAAATTTAAATGAGTGATTGTGCAATTAAATACATATTTTTCTGTTGGATTTATTTCCTTCTTTATAATTTTTTATATTTTTTTCTTTTTAAAGTGAGGACAAAAAAAATAAGCATCAATCGTTAAACGATTTTATCCGATTTGTGTTTGTTTGCAAAGAATAATAGTAAAAGATTAAATAAAAAGAAAAACACATTGTAAGTATGTCAATTATAAATGCAAATGAACACTACAAGTATTTTAATTATTTTTTCTCTTTATATATAAATATGTATATTTTATACATATAATTATYATATTAATTATATTTAGTATWAATATAAAGTTACATATTAATTATAATTAGTATAAAATATTATATACATATAATAATTACGTATCAGTTATTTTAAATAAATAATTGTTGTGTACCATCTTAATGAAAGGCAATTACAATTAAAACTCAATTACAAGTAACAACGCAACAGCGAGTAATCACAAGTAACATCAATCAATATCAAATTCTCAAAAAACATTTTTGCGATAGATAAATACTTTATAGTTCTTATCAAAGCACCGGTGTACAAAACAATAATATTTACGTAAACAAAAAAGAAATAAATAAGCCGWAGACGAATARATTGACGATAATGTAAATAAACTTACAAAATATTTAAAACTTTTACACTTATCATTTGAATAATTTATTTAAATAATTCACTTATTTTTCTGGTTTTCTTTTTTTTTTCGATCAGACAGATATTATCAACGAGTGACAACGTATCAACTTCAAGAAATCTAAAATGTATGAAACGGAAGCAATCGTAGTAAGAAATGCCAACAAATCTTATGGAAAAGCTATTAATGTACTCGATGGATTGAATATGATCGTTCCTAAGGGTTCCATGTAAGTACCATCATAGTAATTTCTTTATTTTTTCATCTCGAGACAAAAAAAAAGAAAAAAACCTGTAAAGAAAAACGAAAGATAATAGTTGCCTACTATTATTTTCCGTTAAATTTGTTCAAAAATAATTCTTAAGTTATTATAATCGCATTGAAAAATAAATCCTTATTAAGCGAATTTTAAAATCAATTATTATTTATATGTAATAAAAATGCTGAACGAGTCTTTTTCCATACTACGATTGACAAAATGAAATGTATAAAGTAATTTCAAAAGTAAAATAAAATAAATAAAATAACATACRAAAGGTTAAAGAAAATAAAAAAGAACATAAAATATTAAATTCCCATAAACAGATACGGATTATTGGGTCCAAGTGGATGTGGAAAAACAACTCTCCTATCGTGCATCGTTGGTATCCGAGAAATAAACAGCGGTGATATTTGGGTGCTAGGAGGAAAACCGGGTACCAAAAATTCGGGAATTCCCGGACCTAGAGTTGGTTTTATGCCGCAGGACATTTGCCTTATAGATGAGTTTACTGTAATTGGTGCACTAAATTATTTCGGAAGAATAAATGGTATGAAGGATGATGAGATAGGTAAGAGAATCTTTTTAAAAATTTTTCTAAATAAACGTATATTATTCACTTAATAATTGCTTTCACTTAATAATTTATTTTAATAAAAGCTATAAATTGAACACCTTTAGATACACTTAAGCAGTATAACTCGTTAGTATCTTGTAGGTATATTTTAAATTGCAGTGAAACGCAAATCCTACATATCTCGATTCGAATATATTATAAATGGAGTTAGGCCACTTTCAAAATAAACAGCTCAATTTATTTGCATACCAAAGTAAAAATAATCTGCACATAATTTATTGTTATCATTATTTGTCATTATTCTCGGAATATTATGTATCGTAATAATATTTGTTACTCGATGTGATTAGCAGTTTTTATTAATTCGAAAGTACCGCAAGCAATCTTTTTAAAATACAATATACAATATTTTTAAATGTATTATTAAGTATATATACTTGTCAATTACTTAATAATAATWATATAGTATTAAATTATAAAAAGTTACACCATAATGCGCATAATTATATACATATATAGACGGTTGTTAATTAAATCGCATTTGATCGGTTTTATTTAATTGCGCATTTAGTTTAAATTTACTATGATAAAGAAAAATATTATTATAGCAAAAAATTATTTATCCCATCTTGTTAATAGCTCGATGTTACGTTTACCATTCAACTTGTTTCAGAACAACGATATTATGATCTAAAAGAAATTTTGCAATTACCACCAACGAGTCGATTGGTAAAAAATACGAGCGGTGGACAGAAGAGAAGAATATCATTTGCTGCAGCTTTACTTCACAGTCCRGAATTATTAATCCTTGATGAACCAACCGTAGGCCTTGATCCGGTGTTAAGAGATARGTAAGTATCTTTTTTATCTTATTCTATTTAATTAAGTGATTAAAAAAAGGTAAGGAATACGAGTAACATATTTTTAAAACTTCACATAAAARTATAACTAAATAATTATATTTATCCAATTTCGTTTTCCTTGTCTATTCACGCATTATATTATAATTAAAAAACTTATCTCTGAAATTAAAAGAATGTCATGTGTGCAGTTTAYTCACGTTACAAGTGAAACCTTCAAAAAAGCAAGTTTCGAAAGAATGAGACGAATGCAAAATATCAGGAGTAGGATAATTTTARATTTTATTTATTATAATATTGTTRTCATRGTAGTTTTTGTCAGCTACCCCTAMCCCAAGATCATATCATTTGGTATATATGGTAACAATATTATAATAAATAAACCCTAAAATTATCTTACTCCTAATACTCTGCATTCGATTCATTCGTTTCACTTCTAACACGTGTGAATCTGCACACATGATATTTATTTTTCGATCATTCAATTATTAATATAATTTAATTATTCTTTATAATTTTGTTWATTCGTTTATTTTGTTACTTTTTACCTTTCTTCCAGTATTTGGAACTATTTATGTAAAATCACACAGGAGAACRGTGTTACTGTTATAATTACTACACATTACATCGAGGAAGCCAAACAAGCGAATAAAGTAAGTAAAAAGAAAAAYAAGTTTAAAAATATAAAATGTCTTTTCTTGTATAATMATCTTCTGGGATKATCTATTTCTTATGTTCTGAGATTTAARACTAATTGGATATTTTAATACATTCAATTTATTCTAGTTAGGTAAAATATAT